TAGGCTTCCCTGGGTGACCCCTCTCAGGCTCTGATGTCTCCTCTTTCTCATACTGTCAACCTTCATACAATTGGCTTCATCCGGATTCCAGGCACCCCTTATAGTGTGTCTGTCCTTATCTGGATAACAACTACTTGGATTCCAGGTGCCCCCAATAGTGTGCCTGTCCTTATCCATAGTACTTCAGGCCGGATTCCAGATACCCCCAGTAGTGTGTCTGTCCTTATCCGCGCACAGCCATTGTTGGATTCCAGGCGTCCCCAGTCGTGCACTTGTCCTTATCCATGCAGAGGCTGTATCTGGGTTCCAGACATCCCCTGTAGTATGTCTGTCCTTACCCAGTGTGTAATACTCTCCAAATACCAGGGGCCCCCTATCGTGTTCCTATGCTATCGGAGAATGGAGAAATCTACTCTTTCCTCGAAGGGAGCCTTGCATCCTCATCAGGTCCACCTGGTCCGGAAGGCATTAAGAAGACAGCTGCCACTAAGGTCAGATCTACCACAAAATCTTCCAAGAAAACAGACAAAATGGCCAGCAGGAGACACCAAGCCTTAGAAAAGGAGTTCTCCAAGGCTCAGCAAAGAGCCAGGTTGGACACACCTCAGACCGGAGGGTTAGCCTTTGACTTAACCCTGGGGGCTCCAACCTCCCCTCTGGAGATCTGGTCAACGGGGGAATCCTTACATTCCCCTGCACAGTGCAGGACAGGCGATTTTCCTTCCTTTTCTCAATCCTCCTCTGCACGGGCGCCTCAGGGGGCTCCCGAGGCCACATTCACCCCTACTGCGGCAGGGTTTCGCCCTAGCGAGCCGGGCCCCTTCCCTACGAAGGACCGCCTAGACCTACTGATCGCACAAGCAGTAGACCGAGCCCTTGATGCCAGGGCTCAGGCTTCCAGATCAGGGACTTCCATTCCCCGTCCAACAACCAGGGACTGAGACCTATTATAATCCCTCCTCTCCATCTGGGTCATCATTTTCAGAGGATTCTTACCTCAACCAACCCGCCACAGAGCAGGAGGTTCAAATGTCTGAAGAGGAAGAAATTCCTCCAGAGGTTCCTTCGTTTAGTGGCCTCTTTAACCCTTCTTTCTTTGTTACCCTGCTATGTAAGGCTACATCCACTGCCCATCTTGAGCCTGGAACTTCATCAGCAATGACTCCCGCTTCCCCAGACGCGGAGGTTGACCCGAACTTCGTTGAGCCGGTCGCGGCTCAACACTGCATCCCCTGCCCTTCTTTATTCCTGAATGCGATCCAGAAACAGTGGGCCTCTCCGGTTTCTCTTCCCCTCCCAGGTAACACTGACAAAAGGCTGTACAATGTGGCCAAGGACCTGGAGGAGGCTCTGGAGGTACCGGCTGTGGACGAGCCCTTAGGGCCCCTAGTATCGGCCACCTCCATCTCTGGGGATTTTTCAGAGGCCCTTAAGGCCGAGGACTGCAAATGCGAGTCCACTTACCGCAGAACACACCAAGCGGCCGCATGGGCGATCAGGGCCACAACCTCCGCCTCATTTTTCAATAGGGCTGCACTTTGCTGGCTCCGACAACTCCAAGACTGGATTCCAGCGGAGGATATCCACACACACCAGGACCTTAGTAAGATGATGGCGGCCACTGAGTATGCGTCAGATGCAACCCTCCAGGCCACCAGGTTTTCGTCCAGAGCTATGGCGTCCAGTATCACTGGTCGCCGTATGCTTTGGTTGAAACGCTGGCAAGCCGATGCTAAGTCTAAGTGGAAGCTGGTGGCTGCTCCATATCAGGGAGGTAAGCTATTTGGGGACGTGCTAAATCCCTACTTAACTGAAAACAAGGACAAATGCAAGGTCCTTAATCTTCTCAAAAGATCGGACAAACGCTCCAGTTATTATCCAAGGAGGCAGTCCTTTTGTGCTGGAGCTAGATACAGTTACACTCAGCCCTTCCAACCCTTTCAGGCCAGGCAAGATAGGCAGGAGTGACAGGCTGATAGGCAAGCTCCTAGACTCAGACAACAATCACAGGGCAAGCGGCCCTTTCGAGGGAACAGCAGGCCATTCCGCCGCTCCAGGTGACTCCCCATCAGTACCTCCCATAGAGGGCAGACTATCCCTATTTGCCCACCAGTGGGAGATCAACACCGTCTGTCACAGTCTTTCCCTGGAATTTGTCTCCAACCCCCCGAATCGGGTCCTCTCTTGTCATATCCCCGGAACCGAACAAAGAAAAGACTGATGAACGAAGCCGTTCAACATTTATTGCATATATGGGCCATAGAACTGGTACCACTGGACCAGAGAGGTTAGGAATTTTACTCCATCCTCTTCATTGTTCCCAAGGCATCAGGGGGATGGAGAGCCATCCTAGATCTCAAAGGCTTGAATTTCCATCTTACATACCGCAAATTCAAGATGCAAACGCTCAGATCTCCGGCACAACATAAACTGGCTCGAACTACAAGCCATTCATCTAGACCTCTGCCACTTCCGCAACCTAGTGGCACAGCGTCACATATTAGTCCTCATGGACAATGTGGCAGCCAAGGCTCATGTAAACTGCCAAGGGGATACCCGGTCTCGGACTCTATTGACCGAATTTCTCTTACTGGGATCCTGGGCAGAACAAAATCTGGCCTCTATCAAGGCCGATCATATTTCAGGGGAAGCGATCTTCTGAGCAGGACAACAGTAGATCACTCAGAATGGCGCCTCCATCTGAGGGTCTACAAAGAAATTTGTCACCGCTTTGGCCTCCCACTTGTGGACCTCTTCGCATCCCCATCCAATGCCCAGCTGACTCGCTTCTTTTCCCGGTTCCCATCTGCAGCGGTGGAACAGACGGATGCTCTTTGGAGTCCATAGCCACAGGGCCTACTTTACGCCTTTTCCCCTCTACCTTTACTCCTGGCAATAATACGCAAACTTCTTCGGGAGCGAGCGGAGATACTCCTGGTGGCCCCTTATTGGCGAAGGAGACCTTGGTTCGCTGATCTGATGAGCCTTTCCCTCGCAGAGCCTTGGCAGATCCCTCCGGAATGAGTTTCTCTCAGCCAAGGGGTTATTCTCCATCCGGACCCCCAATGGCTCCAGTTAGCTGTCTGGCACTTGAGCACTCAATCTTAACAAGGGAGCTTTGCTCGCCAGGGGTCATCACAGTAATTCAGGCCTCCAGTCGTCCTTCCACGAACCGGATATATGAGGCCACGTGGAAGAACTTTCAGTCATGGTGCTCTGGCTGACATTTGTCCATCGCGGAACTTAACGATTCTCAATATCTTGGACTAGATGGTTAGACGGTCTGGAGAGGGGCTTGGCCCCAAACACATTGCGCAGGCAGATTGCTGCTCTTTCCACGGTCCTCATTTGTAACTCTGTGGAGTCATTGGGTCATCACCCTTTATTCCGCTCATTCCTTAAAGGGGCCGCTAACACCAGACCTCCCACCGTGCACAGGTACCCTTCGTGGGAGTTACCACGGGTCCTACGGATGCTTACCATGTCACCCTTTGAGCCCCTAAAGACATGCGACGTCCACTACTTGTCTCACAAGGTGGCATTCTTGGTGGCAATCATGTTGGCACGACGTATCTCTGAATTGGCGGCGCTCTCAATCCGGGATGACCTGCGTGTTTTCCACAGGGATTGAGTGGTCCTTCAACTTGACCCTACCTTCATCCCGAAGGTCAATTCCTTATTTCATAGGTCACAGGAGATAGTGCTGCCAGATTTTTGCCCAAACCCATCGCATGCCCTGGAACGGCAATGGCATACTTTGGATGTCAGTAGAGCACTTCAGTACTATATATCATGGAATTCCGCAAGTCAGAAGCCCTCTTTATATCTTCCCACTCTTCCTCCAGGGGTCGGAAGGTTTCCTCTTCCACCATTGGTAGGTGGATTAGAGCATGCATCGCCGGGGTATATCAAGCTGAGTCCTTGCCGGTTCCAAGACAGGTTACAGCACACTCCACACGGAGTGCAGCTACTTCTGCGGCATGGGCCACTCAAGCTTCCATTGAGGAAGTCTGCAGGGCGGCCACATGGGCTTCGCCATCTTTCATTTGGCACTATAAAATCGATAGGTTTGCCTCTGCAGAGGCCTCCTTCGGTAGGTTGTACATCAAAGTGCCACATCGAACCAGTCTACTCCACACCCTCAGGGAGAGTAGGCTTTGGTATGTCCCATTGGTGGATTCTCCATCTCCAGTGCTGGAGAAGGGGCGTTGTCTTACCTGACAACATCTCAACATCTCAGCACGGAGATGGAGAATCCACACCCAGCCTTGTAGGTCATCTAGGCCTAGGGTTAATTTTTTAGTTTGTGAGCCACACTGTCTTGCTGTCAGTCAATGGCTACGCTCGCGTCAAGACTGGGATCTCTATGGTCCAGGGTGGGCGTGGCAACTTTGACTGACTTGATCTGATTGGGCAGGAATACAGTCTAAACCCATTGATTGATTCTCCATTTCCATGCTGAGAAAAGGCATTCAGGTAAGACAACGCCCCATCTCAGCACTGTCACATTGCCAACAAATACTCTTGTTTGATAAATTGTCAGTCATGGCCCAGTGGTTGACTGTCTTTCACGTAGGTTAGCTGGGTAATATTGAATTCAGCAAATGAATAGATTGACAGAAAAGGAATTGAGTGTTCTGTATCTATATGGAAAATAACTATATATAAATCACATAGGCTGTGTGTAGGTTAGATAGGGAATCTATGCCATGCTTTCCCAATTTGAGTGCCTTTCAAATAAATGGACACTACTAAGAGCTGAGCACTTATATCCAGAGAGCAACAAATTAAGGAAGACTTGTGTAGAAAAATGTAATGGATGATGGAGATGAACTATATTTTCATACCCTTCCTCCACTAAATTTGGTAGGGAGATACAACATTTGTACCTTTTAATATGTCTTATCTGTATATCTGTTAAAATAATATTTAAAATTAAACTATAATAGTTTTGAAAATTGTGAAAGGTAATGAGAAAACAGTTCTGTTTTATCTTTTAGGCAGAGGTCGAGGAGAAAGTGCTTTCTACCAAAGAAGTTTTGATGATGTGGAAGGTGGATTTGGAAGAGGAGGGAGCAGAGAAATGCATAGATCACAGAGCTGGGAGGAAAGGTAATTCTAAAATCAGATACAGTATAATGTAATTGTTTGCTTTTTTAATGGAGCAATCCTGGCTGTGCTTTGATGTTCATGCCTTGGTGGAATCTTGAATATATTTATATTTCTTAAAATATTAAATCAGAATGTGACCAGTGTTTGCCTCTATTTGTGTATATGAAAATATGCTTTATTTTATTACAACTTTTGTATTTTTAATGTATATTATACTGATTAATTTACTACATTTCAAATTACAAGTGAAGAAATGAATGAATGTATTACTAGATTTAGCACTGGTAGCAGATCCTATCACAGAGTATATTCATAATAAAATAGTTTTACTTTGTTAACATTAGAAATAGCCCTAAGATTCTTCTTATTCTTGAGAAGTGTGGAATCATAAGATCTGGATTATTTTGTAAAATATATTGCTTTAACAAGATATAAAAATACTATTTACTTAAATAAGTGTATTAAACTGGAAGGTATTATGTAGTATTGGTGAAAATTATGTTAAAATGTTAAAATGAAATTATAGATTTTTTTTTTGAAGTTGATGGTTTTCTCAGGAACTTAGATTAGTACTTGCTTTCATATTTAACCAAGAGCATGAACAAGAATTGAACTTGCTAATAGTTGCTTTGCATGCTGGAAATCTATGTTGGTATTCAACAAACAGAACAGCATGTGAACTCAAAAGGGCTTTAGATTTGTTTTCAATAGCAGGTATATCTGTATCATTGGAAAATGTCATGTGAATCTGTAGTGCAAACGAACAAACAATTATATTATGGGAGAACAACAACATGGGAGAAAATAACATTCATATATAATTTAAATAATATAAGAAGAAAGAAAAAGGTAATTGGTGGAGAGTTCTGTTGACATTGGTTGCATTTGATCTTGTAGAATCATGCAGAAAACACAAACAAGCATCTCTGTGTATCTGCATTAATGTGCAATAAAATAGAATAAATGTATTGATAATATGAATTAATTCTAAGAACCTGTTTAATATAACTAAATATTGAACAAATTGATATAATGATGATATAATTTTAATGTTCATCTCCAAATGGTTTTCATTATTCTATCTATACATTCTTGAATTTTAGCTTGAATTTTCTTTTAAGTTTTGAAAATGAAATATTTCTCCTGAAAAAGCATTCTTGTATATTTATTTTTCTAATTTTTTAGGGGAGACAGAAGGTTTGAAAAAACAGGCAGAAAAGAACCAGGTATGTAAGATCTTTTCTTTGAAAACTTTAGAGGTATAATAGTCTATACTGTCTGTAGTCATTATTTGAATTAACATATTTGAATGTGAAATTATCCAACCCAGGAATACAGTTTCCTTGTGCAAACAACTTTCCCATTTGGGCACTTCACGTATTTGGAGTATTTCCAAATTAGGGAATGTTAAGTTTCAGAGCCTTTAACTAAATTGTATATTGTCATTTGAAAAAATGAGAAGAGTCTGTTGCACTGTATTCTTATTACTGGGGTGCCTTGCATTCTAGTCAATTCTAAGCCATGAAAGTCAGTGGATGACTGTGAGCAAGTCATTCTCTCTGAGCCTGACCTATCTCACAGAAGTAAAAAAAAAATTTAAAAAAAGGAAAGGCAAAGGGAATAGAGAATAGTCTTAAAGGACAGCATTCTTTACTAAGATAATACTCAAGCACAACTTGAACCCATTCCAAGAAACAAACTTAAGAAAATACCTCAGACTGCCCCTCCCTAATTTACCTGAGAATAAAGAGAAGAAGAAAAGCACATTCATACTTTTAAGATTCTGTTACTATAGCTGTTCTAATAAAAGGAGTTTTTAACCCATGTGGCATTTGTTTGTTAATCAAATATAGAGCTAACAAATATTATGTATATTAATTTGAGAAACAGAACAAAGGAAATATTCAGTTCAACATCTGATTTTTTTTTTTTTTAAAAAAAAAAACCACTCCTAAGGTTTCTAGAATAAATACTGGACTAAGAACTATATTACCTAAAAGTTTTGTGAGGATTTTTCCATTAATAATTATATATGAATGAAAATTAGCACTGGGAGATCCAAGAATACTTTAAAATCGTAATGAATTATAAGAAGAAACTAATGAAAGCAAGAGGCTGAAATGGAGACAGGATTGAGGGGAATGAAAATTAGTTGACTTAACTCTATTTTGAACTACAGAGTAAGTGCAGATTCTCTTTGGCAAGCAAAATGATCAAATCAGGAATTCTACAATAGTCATTTATGGCAAGATAGAATGACAATTATAGGCACATGGAGGTGATAAATGAGGAGAAAGGGACTAGCATGCTAAGTCTTACACTTTCTTATTAGGGAGTAAAAATTACTGAGCTCAGTGGGAATTAAAAATAAATATGTATGTTTCCTTGTGCTTGCATCCATACATAAAGTCCTATTATTAATCTGTTTCCTTTTTGTGAGTGGGAAAAAGGGTATCTTCCCCCTCATTTATAGAATAAAATGAATTAAACAGATTTATCCCCAGTATAACAATGTTCTCTGTATACTTATGTGGAAGTAAAAACCACCAATCTTAGTTGGGTTTACTATAGAAGGGGCAGAAATCTGAGCCAGATTTCCAGAAACAGTTTCTTTTTTCTGTGTAAATATATATATTTAACTAAATTTTAAGATTAAAATGAATTTTAAATAATTATTAAAAGTATTTGGCTGTAAAATAAGATATTCAATTTGCAAAATTAATTGATTTTCTTTTTGCCTAAAATGTGCAAATCTTTTGGGAAAAGTGTATATTTGATGGCTAATAACATCACTTTATTTGGAGTAGTATCATAAAATTATATATCAATGGAAAGATAATTTAATCAAGAATGTAATGCAACCAAGTTTGTTCAATTCCAGTGAGGCAAAAAAGTATTTAGTCAGCCACCAATTGTGCAAGTTCTCCCACTTAAAAAGATGAGAGAGGCCTGTAATTGTCATCATAGGTAGATAATCACATTGCCTGATTTGGAAAGAATTTATTTGCAAATTATGGTGGAAAATAAGTATTTGGTCACCTACAAACAAACAAGATTTCTGGCTCTCACAGACTTGTAACTTGTAATGAGCCGAGGTGGCGCAGCAGTTAAGAGTGCAGTACTGCAGGCCACTTTAGCTGACTGTGTTCAGCAGGTCAGCAGTTCAAATCTCACCGGCTCAAGGTTGACTCAGCCTTCCATCCTTCCGAGGTAGGTAAAATGAGGACCCAGATTGTTGGGGGCAATATAAATATATATATGTACATTGCTTACTGGTGTACACCGCTTAGAGAGTGCTTGCACTTAAAGCGGTATATAAGTCTCATAAATAAATAAATAAATAAATAAATAAACAAACTTCTTCTTTAAGAGGCTCCTCTGTCCTCCACTCATTACCTGGCACCTGTTTGAACTTGTTATCAGTATAAAAGACACCTGTCCACAACCTCAAACAGTCACACTCCAAACTCCACTACAGTGAAGACCAAAGAGCTGTCAAAGGACACCAGAAACAAAATTGTAGACCTGCACCAGGCTGGGAAGACTGAATCTGCAATAGGCAAGTAGCTTGGTGTGAAGAAATCAACTGTGGGAGCAATAACTAGAAAATGAAAGACATACAAGACCACTGATAATCTCCCTCGATCTGGGGCTGCACGCAAGATCTCACCCCATGGGGTCAACATGATCACAAGAACGGTGAGCAAAAATCCCAGAACCACATGGGGGGACCTAGTGAATGACCTGCAGAGAGCTGGGACCAATGTAACAAAGGCAACCATCAGTAACACACTACGCCGCCGGGGACTCAGATCCTGCAGTGCCAGACGTGTCTTCCTGCTTAAGCCAGTACATGTCCGGGCCCATCTGAAGTTTGCTAGAGAGCATTTGGATGATCCAGAAGAGGATTGGGAGACTGTCCTATGGTCAGATGAAACCAAAGTAGAACTGTTTGGTAGAAACACGACTCGTCGTGTTTGGAGGAGAGAGAATGCTGAGTTGCATCCAAAGAACACCATACCTACTGTGAATCATGGGGGTGGCAACATCATGCTTTGGGGCTGTTTCTCTGCAAAGGGACCAGGACGACTGATCCGTGTACAGGAAAGAATGAATGGGGCCATGTATCGTGAGATTTTGAGTGAAACCTCTTCCATCAGCAAGGGCATTGAAGATGAAACGTGGCTAGGTCTTACAGCATGACAATGATCCCAAACACACTGCCCGGGCAACGAAGGAGTGGCTTCGTAAGAAGCATTTCAAGGTCCTGGAGTGGTCTAGCCAGTCTCCAGATCTCAACCCCATAGAAAACCTTTGGAGGGAGTTGAAAGTCCGTGTTGCCCAGCGACAGCCCCGAAACATCACTGCTCTAGAGGAGATCTGCATGGAGGAATGGGCCAACATACCAGCAACAGCATGTGCCAACCTTGTGAAGACTTAACAGAAAACGTTTGACCTCTGTCATTGCCAACAAAGGATATATAACAAAGTATTGAGATGAACTTTTGATATTGACCACATACTTATTTTCCACCATAATTTGCAAATAAATTCTTTCCAAATCAGACAATGTGATTGTCTGGATTTGTTTTCTCATTTTGTCTCTCATAGTTGCGGTCCACCTATGATGACAATTACAGGCCTCTCTCATCTTTTTAAGTGGGAGAACTTGCACAATTGGTGGCTGACTAAATATTTTTTTGCCCCACTGTATCTGTACTGTATTCTATGAAAGGTTATAGCCAAATAACCAGAAAAAGGAACCACAACTTGCATACGTTGATATCAGGTAGCTTTCCTTCATCTGATTGTAGCTAATGAGCATGAGTGTTTAGAGAGCCAATCAGGTGTCATCTTGTTTTGGCAATGAGCCAATCAGATCACAGTTGGATTCAGTTATTGATGATATGTATTGAAGCTGAGAGGAGGACATTTGTCAGTGTGTTATGTGATTGCGATCAAGTTGGTTGGGATTTTTTTTTCTTTCATTTAGTGCAGTGGTTCTCAACCTGTGGGTCGGGACCCCCATTGGGGTCGAACGACCATTTCATGGGGGTCGCCAAACAACACAGTCTGCCATTTTTTCTCCCTTTTCCTTAGCTGTGCTACTCCCTTTTATTCTATTGGCTTTTGAAAGCCAATAGAATAGACTCTCTTGAATAGCGTCTAATTCTATTGGCTTTCAAAAGCCAATAGGAATTGTCCAGGCTGTCTCTGCCCTGCTGAGCCCGCCAAAAGTCCCATTCTGCAAACGGTGCTGCACCAGTTGAGTAGTCCTCGACTTACGACCGGTTGAGTAGTCCTCGACTTACGACTGGTTGGGGGGGGTCGCTGCATTAAAAAGGTTGAGAACCATTGATTTAGTGAGCTTGTAAAACGTAATAAAATTAAAGTAATAGTGCAAAGAGTTGACTGGTCACCCAGAAAGCGATGTAAAATAGTATTATTAAGTGAACAAGGCTACAGTTATAAACAAATTAGAAGAAAAATTGGTGGGAACTTAACCAAAGGTGGCATTTCTAAGTTTTTGAAGAGGTATAAGGAGATTCAGCCACTACAAAACCACACTGATAAAGGCAGGAAAAGGTGCACTACAGCAAGTGATGATAGAAGAATTAAGAGACTGTGCCTATGTGACGTAAGAAAATCATCTAGGTATATACAAGATGAAAAGGTGCAATGCAATGTGAAGTTGAGTGCAAGGACTGTTCGATGCAGACTACAGGAATTGGGCCTAAAATCTAGAATTCCATGAAAAAAGCCACTTTTATCTCTCAAAGGTTGAAAATACTAACTTGGCTAAAACCCACGTTACCTGGACAAAGGAACAATGGGACAGTGTTATTTGGAGTGATGAGACCAAGATCTTCCTGTTTGGTAATGATGGCATAAAATATGTAAGGAGAAGAATCGGAGAAGATTTGCATCCTGATTGCATTACATGTACCGTGAAACACCCAGTCAGTGTTATGATCTGGGGTTGTATGTCATCAAAAGGTGTGGGCAGAATTTGTGTGATTAATGGGAATATAAATGGCCAAAAACACATTAAAGAAATATTTGGGCCCAAACTGAAGCCTTCCACACATGATCTTTTCCAAGACAGTGAAGCATTTATATTTCAATAGGATTCAGCTCCATGTCTTGCTGCTGTGCAAAAAGTGGTCTCAAGATAATCATATTCCACTGCTGGAATAGCCCAGACCTTAACCCAGTTGAAAATCTATAGAGCTGACTAAAGAAACTTGTTAGTTAGAAGCGACCCAGCAATAAAACCCAGTTAATAGACGCAGTCATTCAATCTTGGTTTCACATTATAACAGCTGCAGAAGTAAAGGACTTGGTTCACTCCATGGGAAGATGTTGTAAGGCATAATTCATGCTAAAGTATTAACTGACATGATAATTTTTGTATATCTCATTTTTTCTATGGTGATAATTTTTGTATATCTCGTTTTTTCTACTTGTTTCACTTTTCTTCTTTATAACTTCTATTCCAAAAGCAAATCCTTCATAAAAGTTATTGCATTATATTCTTGATTAAATTATCTTTCCATTGATAAATAATTTTATGGTACTACTCCAAAAGAAAGTGGTGTTATTACTCATCAAACCTCAAATGTACACTTTCCCCAAAAGGTTTCCACAATTTTGGCCACTGCTGTACATATATATATATCAATATATATCAAAAACAATTTTACAAATTGAATATCTTATTTTACAACCAAATGATTTTGATCAATAACTAAGATTAATTTTTTATCCTGGCACTGCCCTTTATTGGATGTGTTTTTATCATGTACATATAGACACCCATAGGTATTATATTGCATATACATTTTTTTAGGGGAATAAAACCCTTATGTTGGCTTCAGTAGCAATTGGTAATCTTGCTTGACAAGATGAGAAAGCTGGGCAATGTTAAGTATTTTTCTGTGTAATATTTCTTTTGTGGGAAGGATTGTCTTAAATCCAAGATCATCTTAATTTCAAATAAATGTTGTAATTATTTAAAGGTGTAATCTTGAATTTTTTGCAGCTTAAAAATGCCTCTTTTAATTATTAGTGGGCTGTTTTATTTTAGAATTTATTTTCCAATTTTTTCCCCCATACTAGTCCTATATGGTAGATTAATTTGCAAAATTATACTACACAAAGCCAAACCTTTAAATTTGAGTTAGGTTTTTAACAGAGTTAAATTATACTGTATAAACACCTATGGCTATTTGCACTAATCTGCAAACCATGCATTCAAGATAAAGTATATCTGGGGTTAGTAAAGCTGATGTTAGAATTATTGCTTTATGTTTGAAATCTGAATGCCATTTGTACTTGTTAATGCTGAAACTGTCCAACAAAACATATATTTTGTTTTCAGCATAAGCACTTTTCTACAAAACCTTTTTAACAGTATCTCAAATTGTTAATGTTGCATTACAAGAGCAATTTGCTTCTGTTAACTAATGTTTAAATTATAAAATACTTGTGACAAATAAAATTAATGCTTCTACTTGTATAAGAATTTGGAAGCATGTGACATTTTATTTGGACTTTTTACTTGTAGATTGAAAGTTTGCATTTGTTTTATTCTACATACCTGTATATTAGAACTTTTGTAAAATTTAAATATTATAAAATTAGTATAGTTAAACTGGAATTTGATAAAATTGGGCATATAGATCAAAAGGCTTTTATAATCACTGTGTTGTAGATGGGAGACAGTTGTTTCAAGTGATGGATAAAAAGGTAAAGTACAAATGCAATTTAATGAATTTCAAAGTGATAATTACTATTGCTGTTTGGTTTCTGTATTGAGCTAAGACGTAATCACAATACCCAGTAAATGAAATAATTAAAACCTCAGCACAGACAAGTGCAAAATTACTTCCAAAACCTTGTAAGAGAACATGAGTTTAGTGGTATATTGTGATGATATTCCAGATTATTTTTTCTAAAGCATGGTTTGTTATGACTCTCACATCTCTTTTCTTCAGTTGTAAAACACATTTTTCCATCCTAAGAATATGATATGATTATTCTTAAGATTACATACATGAATATCATTAATAACCGTAGTAAAATATTGGATCTCATATGCTTTAAAAACTTAATAGCTTTGAACTGGCAGCTAATATCATTGTGAAATTAATTGTCCAGAGCCCTACCATGTTCCCAGTTGAGCATAGCTTTCATAATTGTCAGTATAACCCATTCCTTAGATTTTTTTTGGGGGGGGGGGAATAAGAATAAGCTTCATAAAAAGTACTTTATAATTGGTAACAAATCTCAACAATAAAACAATCTCAACAGCATAACCAGTATATACATATAAATACATTTATCCAAGTTCAAGAGCAAAAAGCTAAACTCTTCATAACCGTAAGTTAGAAATGAAGCCACTTGAAAGTAAAACTATTAAAACCTATATCATGTTCTTCTGAGAAGAATCTTTGTAATCATCCTTTACATAAAAGCACTGATGCTTTGTAGTCTTTCTTATGTGTGTATACATAGGAGTTATTGACTTTTCCAGCTAAAAATAATCCACAAACTGGTTCTTTTAAACTTAGAAACCAGCAACAGCATTAGTTCTGATAAACTGTAATAATCATGAATCAGTTGGCATAAAGTCTAATGCTCAAAGTCTGGTAATTAGATTTCAGGTTTGCCCAATTATTTTGTCAAGTCTAATGTTTATCTGCACTTAATGAACATAGTATGAAAAGATAAATAATTGTGGAAATAGCAGGCCTTTCTGATGACAGAATTATTTTGCAAGACAGAAAAAGAAGAATTATTTTTGACAGAAGAATTATGAATACAGATTGATAGTTTCCTGATGTCTGCTAATGTCCCAATGCAGAATATTAGAGTCCAATGTATCTTAAAATTCTAATCGTTCATTTTCATCACAAACTGCCTAGGGATGTTGAACTTGTTCTTAGCTGCTGGAACAAAGAGATTTGGCAAATGCTTGCAATTTTCCTTAATAAACAAGCACAGCAGGATTGCAATTTCAGTGCCACAGAAAATACTAGCAACATTCTTCATAGCATGTTTAGGCATCAGCATATTCTGTTGTAACTGTATAGCAAGGGAAGGTTAATTTGAGGTCCTATGGGACCTTAAGAATTCCAGGTGACTATTCTTTTTAGAATAAAGTTGTGTCCATTTTTCCATAGTATTTACCCTCATGTCATTTAATTAGATTCCTTGAACAGCTCTCTGAATTTAACAGTCTTCTATTTTAGGTCAGTGCAGTTTTAATCACAATCCATTGAATTTGGCAGGAAGCGCTTTTGTTGTTGTTGTTTTCTAAGGATTTGTGCAATGGTTCTTGTCCCTGACTTTTTTGTGCAGTTCTAGTGGCTCATCCAGTAACATGGATACTATGCTCTTTGTTCTGCACATTGTTCTGAAGTCAAAGGTACTCATAGATTAAAACAAACATGAGAAAATAGAGAGAATAAAGACAGCATTGAAGTGATAGTGGCATTTCATTGTGTTTAAAAAGTGGCACACATTCACAGTTTATTCTATCATCTGAGTCTCACAGATTTGGAAGCTGTCAATGTGCTGTCCATTGATGCGAATCTCCATTTCAGTCCTTTTTGAACTTTTAGTGTCTGTTGCTGGAAGTTCTGGAATTGTTTTATCAAAATTTTCCATTTTGATTTGATACTCCCCTTTGGTACCACGAGCAAGCATAGAGGCAAAATGGTGATGTAATACAATCTCCGATGGGAGATAGGATGTCCTCCTTTGACATGTTTCCCCTGTGCCCTCTTGGGTGGCTGAAAGGAAGACTACTAGCTCAAAGTGACGGTGAGCCTCCCTTTGTAGAAGAATGGTTAGAGGACTTGATGGTGTAATAGAATGGTAATATGTCAAGGGAAAAATAAAAAATGGACACTCTTCAGAAGTTATGCTATCCAAATGAAAATCCACAGTAGTTTGATGCAGTTGACCAGTTTCACGTTCTTCATAAAGAACTGCAGAGATCCGAACACTGGTGAGTGGACTTGGGCGAGTATTAGCCACTTGGAACATTAAGTGTGGCTTTCCTTCTTTGTGTGTCACCACTGCAAGATAAGTGAACCGGATGGATAGAGCTCGATTCTTTGGTCGGGCAATTTTTGCTACAAAAGCACCTAAATAAAAAAATAATTTAAATATAGATCATGCAGATAGATGTAATTTTTTGGTGCTAGTTTATAGAAATAAAGCACAAATAAGTGTATCACATTATTTGAAGCAGAAAAATAAATGAACATCAACTTTAAACATTGATTAAAATATAAGTTAATATTTATTTTTAAGACAAGAGCTATTATTTCCTATGATGTAATATTTCAAGCTAATGTTTTGTATCATCTCTCAATAGATTTGTGTTGCAATAAATTTTATTATGGTAAACCATTTCTTGGTTGTTAGTAATCTGAAATATATTTTTCCATTTGTTGTTTCATTTTACATTATTATGGATATGTTTGTGTATTTATAATGAATGTATGAATAACAGAAAATTACAGACTCTGACCAGAAAATATATAGTTATGCAATAGAATTTATAGAAGAAGGTTACCTGTATTGTAGTATATACTGGGTTCAAAAACTTTCAAATAATCATCTTTTTAGACTTTTCTTTTAAAAAAGATGTACTGAGCATATTTACAAAGAAAGGTCTCATTGAACTAAGTAGGATTTACTTTGTTTGTACAGCTGCTTTGCATCTTGTTAGTTTTAAACCATTTAATTCTGTGGGGGTGGACCCCATCTGTACAATAGATAAGACTGCTAATTTAAAATCCTTTGTACTATTATTTTAGTAACATAAAATGAAAATATAGCCTGTCAAGCTGTTCTGAAAATAATTTTTCTAATAGTCAGCAGCATAGTCTTTTTCTTCTTTCTCTTTTCTAACTTTACAACAGAATTTTCATATGAACCACATCATTGAAACACTTAGTTATGAAGTAACATCTGTTTACCTGTGATAAAGGCTTCCAGCATTAGACCCAGTAGCATTTGTATAGCAAGTAGAGCAATTGCACTTGGACAGTCTCCACTTGGGAACATTGTGCCATAACCGATTGTGAGCTGTGTCTCCAGTGAAAAGGAAAAAGCAGCTGTAAAGCTAGTGATGTACTTTACACAAATAGTATGGTTTTCAGGTGGGGCATCATGATCAATGTCCAGATCCCCATTCATTTCAGCTAAGAGATACCAGAGAATTGCAAAAACAAGCCAGTGGAGGACAAAAGAAGCAGAAAATACCAACATCATCCATCTCCAGCGCATATCCATTAGTATTCCCCAAGCATCTTTTATGTATGCAATTCCTTTTCCTTGGGCACCATCCATCTGGAGTGTGCTATGCCCATCTTTAGTGACCATCCTTAAGTATCGTTGATTCAGCAGAGGAACACTAGGTTTGGTGTTGTTGCCTTCTATCGCTTCTGTCCTCATCTTCTGAAAATAAAAAGTAAAAAACTGTGGGACACTTGTTTATCTATTTGTATGACTATCAGAGATTCTGACATATTGGCAGTGGACTAGATGCCACATGCAGCTGGCCAAGGAAGTATTTAAAACATGCACTTCTGAGAAAATTAATTTTGGAGAGCCAGGTTAGCCACGATGGAATAATTGTTACCTTAAAAAATAAAACAAAACCATAAATGTCAAATGACTGTTTCAGACTTTAATTTAGAAATGTTAGCCAATTTAGATTTACTTGTGTGTCTAAAAGTTTAGTTCTAAAGTAGAAAAGGAGTATTGTAAGTGTGCATCATCTGAATTAAATAATGTGTTTATGAAACAAAGTATTCTATAATAGCTATTTGTAATATTATAAATTCTGTTCTTTTGGTGGCAATCTTAAGGCTGTCATATCACACCTGTTGCATAAAATTTCCCTCACAAACTTCTGTGAGTTTCTGTCTACATTTTCACTGCTTCCAACCATGATATTCTTATTGTCTAGAATTGTGGTACCTGGGATGTAGCCTCTTCTGCTGAACATACTCAGGCCACTGCTGATGTAAAGCTGTATTAAAAAGGGGACAGAGAATAATACGGAAAATATTATGCAATTATATAAACTATTAAGAAGTCCTGAGGAAAAAAATGCCAATGCTAAATTCCAAATTTGCCAAAGAGAAACAGGAATGAGGCTTCTCTTATATTTTATTTATATATATGTATTTAATGTTTAGTCTGGTTTTCAAAACAAATTCATTCCTATGGGACCTATAGATATTAATCATAATTTTCTATGGGATAAGCTCATTCATATTTTTAAAAGGAGCTCATATAATTTCAATAATATAAGAAATATCCAGTCATGGTTTCTTGTTGCTATAGACTTTGGAATAAACTTGCAAACCAAGCATTGTTTCCATGTTGTCATCAGTTGTTATTTATATGAATGATACATATGCATGAGAAGGGCAAGAAATTCCATGTAAATAAATAGATAATTGTGTGTGATAGACACAGTGCAGTGTATAGATTTTGCTTGTGCTCCAGGTGTCTTAACTCAAAATTAGAGATTTTGGTGAGGCTAAACTAAATATTTTTGAAATATTTAGTACCCTGTAAATCACATTGTTTTGCTTCCCCATGATTACTTCTTTTGAAATATAATTATGTTTAATATTTTGCTGTCTGTTTCCCTCTGCAGTGTTAGACTAATGTAGAAATACCCATCAGTTATCCTTTCCTTTTGTTCTTTAATTTAAAGAACAGAATAGTTTGTTGTGAACATAAGCTGAACATAGTTCGCCTAGCATGTTCATATTTTAAAACTTTATTGTTTTAAACATGAAAGATTTTATGTTCAGTAGATCTAAATTATATTTTAATCTTATATAGAGGCATAGTATGATCACTAATAGATTTAAACATGTTTTCATCAGGCTTATGAGGAAATCTATGAAAACTAATCACATTTTTAAAGATAGGGAATAAAGTCCAGTAACTATGCAAAATATATTCAATTGCTTAGATGCAATTAACACATCATATTGTCATATAGTACTTTTGAAGTGTGATCTGCTAGAACCGCAAAAAAAAATTCAATCTTATACGAGTGGCGAAGAAGATTAAAAATTCTGGGATATGTGTTTAAAAAACTGGAATATATATCCATAAAAGTCAGTGGTATGTAGCTGGGAATATTGAAGGCAAAACCATGGCCTACTGATAATCTGATGGGACAATGAAAATAATAGCAGCAATATTTATTTGTTTGTGTATTAATACAGTACATCAGAGACTGTTCTTTGAAAAAACATAAAAATGTCAGTATCATTACTGCTATATTACATGTAAGGGCTCTGTATTTATAGCAAAAGCAAGATTAACAAGTTACACAATTCACAGTATAGTACCTTTACATATTATGCTACTATAGCTGTGCAGAAAAACTGACTTTAGAATATTGCTTCAATTTCATACAAAGATAAGTTATGTCTCTTTATTTAAAAAGTTTCTATTGAGAAATGGTATGAATTTAAAAGTGTTTTAAAATGTTAACCATAATTTAATTTTAATTACTTTAATTTTATACGTTTTATGAGTTATAATGTACACCATCCAAAGCCCTTCTGTGAGGGAGATGGTTGGTTTAGAAATATGAAATATAAACAAATGAATAGCTTAATTATATGAAATATGAGTGTGTATAGTTTTTAAAATTGATATGTAATATAAAAACCTTCAGTGAACTAAATAAGCCTTTAAGTTCTTATCAGAAATGAAGAACAATCTCTACAAAGTGTATATTGTATTACAATAGATGTGTAAGGCCATTAGGCCTCTTGTCCTTTTTGTTATTTTGCATGCGTTATAGCTAGCTAGGACACTTGATAAAAGAGTTTTTTGGAACTGCTATTTGTGACAAGTATTTTTAATTTTATGTCTGAAATTCATCAATTATAATTTAAATATAATTGATATTTTAGTGGTCCTGTGCTCAGAGTTCTAACATTCACTTATGTCCCTCTATTTTTAATATGGTCGGGGTGTGTGTGTGTGTGTGTGTGTGTGTGTGTGTGTGTGTGTCTGTCTGTCTGTTTATCACTTTGTATTGATATGAACTTGGTAAAGGAGAGGGACTAGACAGAGATAAGTGCTAGAAATTTTCTGTAAGGACCCCTCATAGAAATTTTCTTTTGGACGTATGTTTTTGTGGATATACACATATTGTGGGATAACTTTGCCAGCATTAAAGCAAAATGTTCCCCCCTTTTTTACAGTTTCAAACAGCCATTTTGAAAGGAGCAGGAAAACCTCTGTTATCTACTTTGCCTCTCTAAAAAACAGAAGTGAAAAGCAACTTCAGAAATGCAGAATCTATGCAAAGTTTTAGCAGAATTCTGACATTCACCAATAGGAGTCAGAAACAAATTTATAACAGAAGATTACTTTAAATAGTACAAAAAATAAACAAACATCTGAATAATCCAGCCTTTTCTATTCCACTACTGGATTTCACCCAAAGCTTCCAGTCATTTCACTAGTTTAATTTAAGGGGATAAGTGATTTTAACTGCACTTTTCCACTTTGATTTGAGAAGTAGTTCTCAAAATTCTATATAATATTTCATATTTCATCTGTTAGTATAGAGTTACAGAACTGATATTTTTATCCCTCTCCTAAAAATCCTTGACAAATGTTTTTCATCATTTTCACTTGCCAGGCAGTTGATACTTTCTTTGAAATATCCTACCATAATCTCAAGTTTTTGGTTGTGGAATAGATATGTACCTGGGATTTTTGTCTTTGTTTTCTTATACATATTACTTTAAATGACATTGCCAGTTTTTAAATTATGCATTAAGTTTGGACATTCTTCACAGTATTCTTCAGTTTCTTATTGTGTATAATTGAGCAATGTCCACAAACACTATCTTTTTGACATATGTAAATTTTGAGAATTGGCCATAAGCACTTGTGTAAATGGTTGCATTTTCTTTTTACAAAATGGCTGACATGGTAGCCATTCATATCATGTCTTATAATCAGTACTTTTTTTGTAAAAAAAAAAAAAAGGTGCCGGAACTCACACATGTCTTGCCTACCCTACAAGGTTCCATCCAAAAAAGGTACCGGAACTCCATTCTGGGCATTCTATGACAAAAAAAGCCCTGCTTATAATAGTGGAGGTTGTTTTTGTTTTTCAGTATACCAGTTTTGAATTTAATGTTTTCAAGGAAGAAACAAACTATCCTAAAGACATTAAGGGGTCATTCCCAATATAGATTCTTAGGAACCCCTCGAGTATTTCCTTCACTGTTTAAATTACATATTCCTTCTCTATTTTTCGATACTGAGTAATTTTCTCCCAACTGTCCCATTGTTACCTGTACAATAAGTGCCATTCAGCAGGATCATCCAAAACTAGAGAAGCTTTTTCATAGATAAGGAGGCTATAGGTAGAGTTCTAAGCAAGGAAGGCAGTTTCCAATAGTCCCATTATGCCTAGTGATCTGATTCAAGCTATGATCTGCTGGAAGCAGATGTTACACTTCTGACTTTTTTTTTAGTTAAAAGCTCAACATTAAGAATATTTTCACATATAACCAAATGCTAAACATTTATAATTCTATAAATAAAACAAAAAAGAATTTCAACAAAGAATAATTGAATGCCACCTCTTGTCATTAACTGTTTTCTATTCTGTCTTCTACTTTAATTGGGAGAAATTGTAAGCAATCTTGAATTTTGCATAAATACACAAACAGGATATGTTAACAAACCATATAATGTATAGTAGTTAAAACGGAGTCCAGAAAACAAGCAAGAATAATGGATCATACTTTAAACAGGCTTAGATAATTCAGAACCAGAGCACAGAATTTTAACAGAAATAATACAGCTGCTCTTCTGTAATAGTTCGAAGCATGTATTCAAAATGTTTGCATCATTTAACTATTAACAAAATATGATTTTAAAAATATTCTTAAATTGTTGCTTTGAAAATAAATTTTATTTAGATGCTATACTGTTTTGTGAAGCAAATATTTTTCATAGCATGAAATTATGTTTTCCTTAGCATTTAATATTAACAGCCCATTTTATCTCTCAAACTATTTTTCCATCTTCAAAATGTTAATTGCTTTAATGATATTATCAGTATTTATAGTATTTCCAGCTTAACTCTCATATTTAGGTGCTTGCCAGAATATTACATCGTACCTTATATAATGAATTTATTTATCAACAATATTGTTGGCAGATCTGAAGAAAATGATATTCGATCTGTTACTGGAAGATTATTACACTGTATTCTTAATTCATCATTCTTAACAAAAAATAAGGAGAAATCCTTAGTGCAAACTTTGAATATTTTTCAGTCAGATTTTTGTACAGACTGGATGAGATACTTGATGAAATTGACAGAGCTTATCCTTATGGAGTTATAAAACAAGAACAAGCTGCAATGGATGTTTATGAAACTAATTTAAAAGGCATTTAAATGTAATACAACTAGTTCTGATGGATGACTATTCCCTACAGGAGATGAAAATATACATCACAAAATTGATTTGGATATTTTTTCTCCTCTGGCTAAGATTCTGCTAAGACTTGGAAGGCCCTTTATAGAAGTGACAAAAGGATACCTTTTACTTATGGATGAAGAGAAATATGTTAAAGTTGTGAAGCTTTGAAATATAAATAAGTAGCAATCTACTTTCAGAAATGTTCATTACTTGAAGAGGTCAAAGAATACCTTTAAAAAAATCTAGGAAGAGTTATAAGTGTTCGATCACGGTTAAAAGAAGAATAGAGTTATATCTGGTTGCCCTTATTCGAATTTTGCTGATAAAAATTGATGTAGCATTTTGATTTTGTTTTCTTTACCTAAGATTTGAGCTATGGGCGAAGGGAAATTATATTTTATTTAGAGACTATGATTTTTTCTTTTTTCCTCCCTCCCTTTTTAATTCCTACTTCCATTTTTTGTATGTAATTTTTGTACTTTGTACTGACTTTTATTTGTAACATGTATAATTCTTAATAAAATTGTTTGGAAAAAACATATTTATAGAGAGTAGTTAAACTCATAGCTTTGGACTGGAATTTTACTGCAAAATTCTAAGGATATGGTATTATATAAATACCATTTATTAATTGCTTGTCATATTATTCTGAATATAAATTGCATTACTATTATGTAAATTGTACATAATACATAATACTACACATTTTCACTTAAAATCAATTTTTTTCGGTGTTATATGGCACTGTCATTCCCCCCCTCCTCCACTACCCACTCCATAATAAAACCTGCGGATATTACACATGGCTTACAGGGAGTAAGCAAGGGGTCCTGTCCCCTCCCATTATCACCCCCACTACTATTCTTGATGTTGCTCAGCTGTTACTAAATAGTGCATGTGTTAAATAATCCTGCTTAATAAAACCAGAAATTAGCAGGCATGCACAAATTCTTAGAGATCGTCATAGAATATGTGTGTGTTGTGTATGTGTACACTTTTGAGAGCAAGGAACATAATTTCATTTTTAATGTGTGCCAGTGTGCCCACAGTAAAAAATGACAATAAAGGTTATCTATCACATTTTGAATTATTTTCTCTTTGTGTGTGTGTGTGTGTTTGTGTGTGTGTTTGTGCGTGTAATTTATAGAGCCATGGCAGATAATGTAGATGTAGGCATAAGTTCATTTTAAAGTTGAATTGTTCCTAAGACTAAATCAATGCTGGTTTAATTTACCAATAATATTGGCCTGTGCTTTATTCCTCAAAAGGTTTTTCCAATATTTCAGTTCATTCTACAGCCTTGTGTTCCCCTATTCTAATAATAACTAGGACCAATGTCACTAAGCTTCAGAGCACAGACAGGTTCAGCTAGCTGCTTCTTCTTCTGAGATGGGATTAATCTAGCTTGGTGCAAATCGACAGCAATCTATTAGTGCATAGATTTAAAATATAAATGTCATTCAGATGACATTAGTCTTACATGGTATAATCTTCATTGTCTTAACTTTTTGATGATTTGTTGTGTTGAATAGACATTTGAGAATGGTAAAGCAGAAAATAAGTTATTTGCATATGTTTAGAAAATCTCTTCTAAATAGCTGAGAAAATGTAGTCTGCACATTCTAATATTCTAGTCTGATAAAAATGTAAAATACTCTTTTTATATAAAAAGGTAAGCAAATTTACAAATTCAATAGTATAACCAGTGTTATACCAATCTTTTACTATCAGATTTAGAATAACTTTACATACAGCTTCACCCAATTTTAATTTTTTTTATTCCAGAGGCTAATTTTTACCTCCAGAAAATATTGCTATGCAGAATTAAAATATGTGCAATGTTAATTTGTCTTATTCTGACTATGTATCTTCTAGAAAGTTATTGTTATGTCTGAGCTAGAAAGTTTAATATATATTCAGTGTTCCTTAAACATTAATATGGTTTAAGATGTACAGATGATCTATATAGATGATCTGTGTGAACTGAATGGTAAAATTCTGAAGATTTATTTTTAAAGTTTCGTATCAGCAGAATGGCATTAATAATATGAACTCATTTGATAGCCAAACAAAAATTAATTTAAATCTGAATCATATCTTCCACCTTTTTGTATACAATCTGTGGTAAAAAAAAAAAAATCTTCCAAAGTCACTTAAATTATTATTGATTGTTGAAAATAAAAGAAATAGCAAAGATTTAGGGAAAATTCTTGTGCTAAATTAATTTCTTCAAGAGATATTGAAATTCAAATAAAAATGTAAAGATTCCCAATCCTTTGGAGGTAAAATTCACTGAAAAGACCTTGAAATTTAATTATTAAATACGACTATACTATATAAAATTCTAGCTTTTCTGAAAATAATCACATTTCCAATATTCAGTCACATATTGGTTAAATAATTGTATGTGTTTATATCTTATTTAAGAGCTATAAACTTTATTTCTTAGAATCTATAGAATGCTCACATTGGCTATAGATTTCACTGGCAATTTTATCGTATAATATCAACTTAATTCAAGCAATCAATTTTGATAACTGCCCAGCTAAAATCTGCTTTATATTTTGGTAGAACTGGAAAGCTATGTTTATCTTAATATTTCTATCAATAGTCATGACTTGCAGGAAAAATTTATTTCTTTATAGGTTTTGATTCAGGAAATTATTAAATTACTTTTGTTAAAATTAAATTCAAAATTGGAAAACTTGATAGAATGTATGCTTTGTTAGCATTCTGTACTTACCCGTGATTTGTAGCTTTTATCTGTCTGGCAGGGAAAGGGAGAGGTGGGTATCTTGAATATGGAATATGCACCAAGCTATCTTGTATCTGTCTGTATACAGTGGTCCAAAAGGAAGGAAGAAAAAAAACCCCGTTTTTCTAGTTTGGAAGGATATTTGTTCAGAATGGGCTTACAGATCTCATTCCACAGTATATAATGTGGGGGGTTGGTTTTCATATGAAGCTGATTTGATTGGTCATTTCATCTGCAGGGGGGCCAATTAGCTGTGGTCATGTGGAAAAGAATGCTGATTTGTTAGAACTTTCTTTACCCAACAATAGCCTAGCTGCTGTGGAGAAATGCACAAGACCTTACTTGGAGAAAGGGGTGCATTTTTTTCTCTTAATCAGGATGGGGCTTTTAAGTTTGCATAATCTTACTTAAAGCTTTACTTGCTGGTTCAAAGGAATGACATTCCTCAGAATTGTTTTCCATTCATTTTCATGAGGTGCTATTCATAAAGTTCACACTCCTAAAAATATTTTCTTCCAGACAAAGACAGACAGGTGAAGATGTACTTTCCGTTTCACTTTCTTCCTTTTAGTTTTTTTTTAGCTTGGAGCTGGAAATGTCCTTTATCTTTATCTTAGACTTATAAAATCATATCATTTGTAGATTGATATAGATTTGTTACTTTTAAATAGTTTGTAGTCAAAGATTCGAGATCTAGTATCTAATCATTCTATATTTTGCCCCTTAAGTCAACTTTGCTCATAAGATTGTCTTTACTGGATGTAATAGAAAAGTATTATGAGGATGAAACATAATTGCGATAACCAAAATGAAACACAATTTTACAATGAATAAATCTATGGCATTCAGACTTTATACTGTGTGGAATTAGTGTGGAGTAATCTGATTAGTAAAAAAAAAATAGCTCAGATGAGGCCCACAGTGGCCACTTTCTAGAAACATTTACATGATTTGTTGAGATACTTTTGTGTAGTATTTAGAATTTGTGGTATCTGGAATTAGTTAAGTCTAATTAATTAGTGACTAGTAAAGAAATAGCTACAAGGAGGCTCCTATCAGTCTAGAGCTACTTGTATATCTGTCAGTAGTTTCGTAATGCATTTCACATTTTTCTTTAGTTAGTTGCTGATGTAGGGACTTTGATCGAACGTCAGACCTAAGAGGATCTGAGAAACAAAGACTGTGATTGTTTGCAGTAAAACTACGGAAGACCCGCTGTGAAAATTATTAATGTAGACCAATATAATGCTACTTAGAAACCAAAAATCTCTCTCATGTATTTCCTTTAAAAATCCACAAAATATAAATCATTAATTCTTTATTTCATTAGTAGAAAATGTGTTAATACATGTTGAGGCATAGCACTATAAAACTGAGACAGGCACAATAGCTTTTGTAGCTACAAAGACAAGGAGATAGTTTTCATTCAAGTATATGGAGCTACAACAGATTTACTTCCCTAACTTTTCAATATAATATGTTTTTTCCCTTGCATATGTCCTTAACAATTAGTTCCATACACTAATATCTTTAATCCAGTTTGGGAGATACCATGAAATGTTAACCTGTATATATGGTACGGCTTGGCTATTGTGCAAGGTATAAAACTTGTGTAGAATTAGATTATACTATGGAACAACCCCACTCCCCATAATTCTATGGAAAAACATGTATAGTTGAAAAGTTGTGATTATCTGTTCAGGAACAGAAATGATCCAAGCTGGCATATATGTTAAAATGTGGTTGAATGCACTTTGGAAATTATAGTTACAGTAACTATAATTGTATGCATGGATTCATAGTTATATAGTATAATTTTCCCATTAAAAAAAACCTTCCACAGCTTTTTGCTGTTCGTATATTTCCTAGGATCAATGCCATTTATTATTTTAAATTAAGAGACTTCTCAGGAAACACCTCCTTGTTACTATAGTGGAAAACAGTATGGGTGTTTATATATCTTATAGAAACATTGTTGACAGTTATTTGCTATCCTAGTTTTTTTTAACCTTCAATAAACAAGTTCTCAAAGGTTTGTATTCCAAAATACAGCACTTTGAAGTTGGTCCTTTTAAAACTTCAAATTACATAGCTGTAGACTTTGTTGGCTGGATGTCTTTGTTGTATCTGAACTTTTCCATAAACACCATCACAGGCTTTGGGTCAGACCATGGAATGCAGATGCCCTTTAACTGCTCCTTCTCCTCAGGAAGTCCAGTCAATTAGTTTGAGGCAAAGTCACAGATCTTTTTCTCTTTTCTTTTCATCCTGGGAAATCATGGTGAAACACCAACCACGTGCCAAGGAATCTAAGCCCAATAAAATGAACTTCCTGGAATATAAAATTCATGTATGCTTACAGAAATTGAAATTCATATATTTAAAATTAACTAGTCACTGAAGTATTGTTGGCCTCCTATTTTTTAGGAGCCTCACAGCATAATATATATGAATCTTATTAAATAGATTTTGAAAAATTATGTCATCCATGCCAATTTTTCTGTATTTGTTTTATAAAGCTTCTATACTGTTGATGGACAAATTTATATTGCTACACAATTAAGAGTCATATATTCCAGTCATATCCATTTTTATTCAGAAGAAATTTACAGTAAATTCAGTGTGACTTACTATCTAGTGCTTTACTTATTTTTAAATAATAGGTATGATAAGCTCACTCCAAATTTCTTTTTAATTTTAATGAACTGTGATTAACTGAATAAGATGGCACTGAAGCTTTCCCCAAAACAGCTTTATACAGGTAATCCTCGAGTTACGATAGTTCATTTAGTGACCATTCAAAGTTATGCGATAACCCCCCCAAGTATTTATGACCCAGTCCTGAAATTACGAATCTTGTAGCACCACGGTAGTCGTTCACCTTTAAGAACGACCAAAGAGGCACTACAACATTCAACCTGCCTATTTCCCCCAGCTCCCCACAATTGCTTCTCTTGCCGCGCTAGACTCACCTTGCAAAGATCTGTCTCCTCTCTACTGTGGTTTATTTGAGAGCAGGACATTTTCGCTTTCAGTAACTGATTGGCTTGCAAACGCTTTTTGCGCTCTGAGAGTGAAATGTTCTGGCGCTGTGATCTTGCAGGGCTTCATGAGATATCTCAGTGGGTTGGGAGAGGCCTTAGGTTGTCTTAAGCAGGTAACCTCTTCCATCACTAGCGCCCCCCCCCCCCCGTCCATGACCTTCCCCACACTGAGATACCTCATGTGCACTTAATGACTTGTGCATTCGATTAGTGAATGTGTGGACAAAAGAAGGGAGTTTTCATGTTCATTTCGCATGATTCACTCCAACAAATCCTCGGGTTACGAATGCAATTGGCAGGCTCCATTACATTCTTAACTTGAGGACTACCTGTACTCTGCTGAATTTGGACAGGAGTAAAATAACAGAATTTATACAAATGAGCATAAATACCCATATTTCTCGTAGGATGAGTAATATGCAATGTACAGAAAGGGGACAGGAAAAGCCTTGAAATAAGTAAAAGAAATATATAAATAACTGAAAGTAGTTTACATAAACACCTTTTATTTTATCCTTCTGTACCTTTCTGTTTTTGGAAACTAACCTTGTTTCCCATATACCCCAAAGTTGCTTCATTTATTGCTTTTGTTCTTCAAAGTCATCACTGGTTTTTAAAGATATGATTGGCTCCATCCAACCAATATAGCTTCTCATTCCATTATCTATTTAACCTAATCATGCTTCCATTGTATATTTGTTTTGCAGCTGCATTTATTCATTTCTCTCTGCATCAGCTCACCTCTATGTACTATTTTCATACTGGGCATTCATTTCTCTTCACTCCACATTCATTTAGCACTTGTTAATCCTATTTTTCTTTCATTTTATCACTCATACTTCTTAAGTATCCCGTTTCCATTTTTTAATCTCTTCTGAGCAGTTCTCAGTTCTTTTACACAATGATTTTTTGCTTCTTTTATATTAATTTCTTGCAACAATCTATATGCTTTCCTGCTATCTTTCTGTTAGCATTTGCACATATTAAAATTTTTTCCCCATCTTTAGTAAACATTCTACCAAAGCAGGAAGTATTCATCCATCTAGTTCAGGGGTAGGCAACCTTGGCTCTTTTATGACTCGTGGGCGTTGAAGTCCACAAGTCATAAAAGAGCCAAGGTTGCCTACCCCTGATCTAGTTCTTCATTGCAACATTTTTATCTCATGCAATATAGAGCGAAGAATTATTCCATTTATTCTCATAAAAGTTTTAGTTCCTTGATAAACTGATCTTATCATATTTATCAACCAATTTGTGCTAAATTTTCTATAATTCAAACTTATTTACTTTTTCATATGCTTTCTCTAAATCAGTGGTTCTCAACCTTCCTAATGCCGTGACCCTTTAATACAGTTCTTCATGTTGTGGTGACCCCCAACCCCCCATCCAGCAGGCCAGGGGGGGGTATCAAAAACTTGACCAAAAAAAGAGAGGAAAAAATAGGAAAGTATAGGTAGTCCTCGACTTATAACAATTCGCTTAATGACTGTTAGAAGTTACAACAGCACTGGAAAAGCGAATTAATGATCATTTTTCACACTTATGATTGTTGCAGTATCCCTAGGGTCATGTGATTTACATTTGGATGCTTGACAACTGATTCATACTTATGACATTCACATTGCCCCAGGGTCACATGATCAATGGCCAGGGGGCATGGCCAGCTGATCACTCTGGTTGTAGAGTGCCTGTGGGGGGGGGAATCTGTGGGTCTCTGGGATGGGACTGGGGTGGGTGCCTGCCTTCCTTCCTTCCCCTTGTCCCTTCCTTCCTTCTTTTCTTCCTTTCCTTCACCTCCCTTAGTCTCTTCCTCATTCCCTCCCTCTCTCCCATTGTCCCGTCCTTCCTTCTTTCCTTCCACCTTAGTCTCTTCCTCCTTCCCACCCTCTCCCATTGTCCCTTCCTTCCTTCCTTCCTTAGTCTTCCTCTCCCTTAGTCTCTTCCCTCCCTCTCCCATTGTCCCTTCCTTCCTTCCTTCCTTCCTTCCTTCCTTCCTTCCTTCCTTCCTTCCTTCCTTCCTTCCTTCCTTCCTTCCTTCCTTCACCTCCTTCTTAGTCTCTTCCTCCTTCCCTCCCTCTCTCCATTGTCCCTTCCTTCCTTCCTTCTTTCCTTCCTCTCCCTTAGTCTCTTCCTCCTTCCCTCCCTCTCCCATTGTCCCTTCCTTCCTTCCTTCCTTCCTTCCTTCCTTCCTTCCTTCCTTCCTTCCTTCCTTCCTTCTTTCCTTCCTTTCCTTCACCTCCTTCTTAGTCTCTTCCTCCTTCCCTCCCTCTCTCATTGTCCTTTCCTTCCTTCTTTCCTTCCTTTCCTTCCTCTCCCTTAGTCTCTTCCTCTCCCTTAGTCTCTTCCCCTTCCCTCCCTCTCCCATTGTCCCTTCCTTCTTTCCTTCCTTTCCTTCACCTCCTTCTTAGTTTCTTCCTCCTTCCCTCCCTCTCTCCCCTCGTCCCTTCCTTCCTTCCTTCTTTCCTCCCTCCTTTCCCTCCCTTCCCTCCCTTCCATTGTTTCTCCCTTCCTTCCCTCTCTCATTGTTCCTTACTTCCCTCCCTCTTCATCCCTTCCTTCCTCCCCCCCCTCCGTGCCCAGGAAGGGACAAGTGGAGGGGGATAGGCTGCCAGCGTGGCTGCGGGCTTTCCGGCCGCAAACCTGTCTGTGCACAGGCAGAGACAGAAGAGAGCTCACCTAGCTCACTTGCTCAGCTTCACTGAAAAGCATGCCGCTTGCTAAGTTAGCAGAAGCTGCAGGATCAGCACCGGGCTACAGCTGATTCGCGCTTCTGCTAAATTAGCAAGCGCATGTTTTCTAGCGTGCAAGTTTGCTGGGCAGGAGCCAAGGAGAGCAGCTACAGCTGCAGAAGCGCGGATCAGCTGTAGAGGCTTGCCCCAATCCTGGACAAGAGGGAAGGAAGGAAAGACGGAAGGGACAAAGGGAAGAGGGAGGGAAGGAGGCACAAAGAGGGAGGCGAAAGAAAGGAAGGGACAAGGGGGAGAGGGAGGGAAGGAGGGACAAAGAGGGAGGCAGAAGGAAGGAAGGAAGGAAGGGACAATGGGAGAGGGAGGGAAGGAGGAAGAGACCAAGAGGGAGAGAAGGAAAGGAAGTTCCAGCCAGGAGAGGCTTGCCAGCCCGGCTGCCAAGAAACAGAAGAGCGCAAAGCCAAGGAGAAGAAGGTGGTGGTTTCCTCCCAAAGAGGGCTCCTTTTCTCCACCCTTTCCCTGGGTTTGTGGGGAATTTCTCGTCACCAAGGCTGACAGGTGCTGCTTCGAGCCTGCCGCGAGCTTTCTCGCCCCCTTTGCTTCTCTCCCTGCCGCTTTCGTGAGGATTATGGCGCCCTTGGGAAGCCGATCAAAGCTTAGGAGAGGAGGAGCAGTCCCTTCCTCCTTCCCTCCCTTTCTCCCTGTCAAACCCCGGCGGGTTCAACATGAACGGGTGGAGGAGGAGACAAGGACGGGTGGGGTGGCAAAGGAGACCTGCAGCCATCGCCAGACCTCCCGACTGACAAGCGCAAGTTCGGGGGTCGCCAGCTGACGGGCGCAAGAGTTGGGTGCTGCGTGGCCTCCCCTTGGCTGACCTGCGTGCACGAGAAGAAGTCAATCCGGTTGCTGCACAATGAGTCTCTGGGGAGGGAGGGGCCTTGCTCTGCGCCTGCACTCTTCATGCGCCCCCTGCAGGGCACATTTGGTAGAGTTCATGCAGACTGCCGCTAAGCACCATATTTTCCACAAACAAGTGAGGTGGAGCGGGGGGGGTGAGGGAGAGAAGGCGGTAGACAAGCCCTGCCTAAGACCATCGGAAATATGTGTTTTCCGATGGTCTTAGGCGCCCCTGTGAAAGGCTCGTGCGACCCCCAAAAGGGTCGTGACCCACAGGTTGAAAACTGCTGCTCTGAATCAACAAAAATAATTGTGCATTCATTTTTCAGTGACCTGCTGTACAAAAGAAAAAAGTTCTGTGTACCAGCTGCTTAGCATAAAATTGCACTGCTCTTCTCAAATTTTGTTCATTATCACATTTAATCAGAATTCTGCCAATGTCATTTCTTACACTACTATTCTACTCAGAGAATAATATTCTTCTTTAAGACCTAATTATGGTAAAGAGAATGACTATTTGATATTGCATGTTTTAACAGCCGTGAGGATAGTATTTGCCCAATTTTGGAAAAATGAGCATCTACCATCTGACCAGATTATAATTACTAAAATCTTAGGGTGTGCAGAAATGGATAGATTAACATTGGAGATGAAAGAAAAAGATGACTCAGTTTATTTTATAACTTGGGAAATTTTTTATCAATGGTTAGAGACACATTAGAACCTGAAAAGGACTTAATATTTCAGAATAGATTGATTTTTAATCAAGTTCTAATTAATAGGTTGATGACATTGTTATTTTTAGTGATTTAGTGATTTTTATCTGTTAATGTTGATAGTCAGGATTTTTTGAGATTTTATTATTTGTATTTATTTAATAGATGAACTTATTTGTTTATTAATTGTTTGTAATATGGCTATAGTTAAGCTTATTTTAAAAATGGTTGAGTATGATATTTACTCATTATTATGATCCGGACAATAGCTTGTTTGTTAAAATATGAGATTTTATCCTAAATCCCCTATTCCCTTCCCCCCATCCCTTTTCCTTACCATACCCTATTGTTCCTATTTTTTCCTTATGTATATAAACTCAATAAAATATTGTTTAAAAAAAGAGAATAATATTCTTACAATCATGGGACAGAGCTGCGGTCTTCACAGATATGTTGAACAAATCTCATAACTAGCTCTCAAGCAAACCACATCCATATTTTAACATGTCTTTCTAATTATGTCACCTGCAAATGCAGCCTTACTATTTTTCAACATGCTCACAGCATTTAAGGCTTTTTGTTCATCGATTTTTTCAACATTTTTTTCTAGTGTTCATTTCAGTTCAAGTCAACTCTACAAGATACCTCTGATATAAGTTTCTAAAATGTTTATTCCAACATTCTCTCTCTTTGGCTTCAATCCAACTTATTTCATCACTTTTATTTTTATTTTTAATTCCATTCACTCCAGGGTTCTCCTTGTTTAGTCCTTTTCACCTATTTTCAAACCAATTTTATTTCTATCAAAATCCTTCTGCGTTTTCTTCACTCCTCTTAACTATCTCATGTCTTTTTTGACTGTAGCTATCTTGAATTACACATATTTTCTTTTCATTATTTGCAGCAATCATTCTCTCATATTTTTTTTTCATTTTTCTCATACATGGTCTTTTTTGCTTCCTCATTTCATCCAATATCATTTTTTCATACTTTCCAATAGTATACTTCTGTGGCACTCTTTATGTTATTTATATATTATACTCTTCATATATTGTAAGTGCATGTATGGTATGCCACATGATAAATAAATAAATAAATGTGGCACTCTATTACTTCATTTGCTTGTTTGTACCTGCTTTTATTATTTTATTATTTTTATTATATTCAGAATTCTTGTATCTTTCATTAATTCTTAATCATAAATAATTAAAAATGATTTTAGATTTGTATTTTTGACATATTTGCATAAGTAGACTTGTGCTTAAATCGCATATTAGAAACTGATCTTTTTCTATGCAGATATTACCCAAACAGTTACTTCCATTCATTCTTCTGGATCTGGATCTGGATTTGGATTTTGGACTAACCCCTTTTTTGTACTCTTTTCATTTGTTCCAAGTGCCCTTATGTTACTTAGACAAGTTATTATTTTCCTTGTGAATCACATTTTTAGAAGATTATCTGTTCTCACCAACTCATTTCTATTCCACCTATTATCAGCATTCACTGGAACATAATATGCAACTCTCTCCAATGGATTCCTACTTCATGCAAAGAAGTCTCTATCATGTCCCAAAGGTTCTTTTTCAAGAGGCAACTGGACTTTCTTGTTTTTCTTTGAAGACATGGAAAGATTTATATTTCTTGCAGATAGGTGATCATTTGCATTCTCTTAGAGAGTCGTTGAAGTCACTTGGAGGTTTATCTGTGTCCTCAAGGTCACCTGAGTGGTGCAAATGGGTGTGGAGCCTTTAGACTGGATATGGATGATGTCGTATCCCTCCCCTTCTATTGAGAGAAGACTGTTCAGTTTTGACATAGATGGCCTCTTTGACCCCTCTCTCAAATGAGCAGTTGTCTCTGTCCAAAATGTGGACTTTGCTGTCTTCAAAAGAGTGACCTTTGGCTTTTAAATGCAGATGGACTGATTTGCCTTACAAATTTGTCTATAAATAAATTATATCCAAACCATATAAAATGCTCTCTTTATTATTAAGCTACTACTATATTATTTGAAATACAGCATTTGGCATATAATGATAAAAATTATATAGTAATTCCTGTAGTTGCCTCAGATGCACATTTTTAGAAATGCTGTTTCTAGATTTGACTTAGTCTAGTCAAGTAGACAATGCTGAATAACATTATATAGATATTTTAAACAGAAACTAGATACAGCACTTAAAAACACCTCCCATACAAAAAAAACAACAGAACTTTGTGCCATTGTAAACTTCAGTGTGACCAGGAATAGTATCTTGATATGTCTCAACTATGATAAAGCAATCTCAGTGAACATCAGGTGGCATTTGTTTATGGAAACAAACTTTGCAGATGCTCTTCAATGAACTTGTTGCAGTGAACATTTGACATTCGTAAAGGCTTGCAGCTGTATGGTAACAGCTTTATGAAATCTTTTTGAAAACAGCTTGTTTTCCCCCATGAAAAATTATTTTAATATAAAGTAGTTGAATATTAAAATAAATACAAGGAAACATGCATTTGATTTTTTATTCTTTTAGCCAAGGGTGCTCTGATAATTGTACACTTCTGTTTTATATACCAAATTTATTTCATGATACACAGACTTATCACAAAATAGGTTTTTATTTTTTAGTAAGACCAAATTTTGAAGAAGCTGGAACTGTAACAGTAGGAAGGAAACATGAATTTGTACGCTCTGAAAGTGAGAATTGGCGCCTATTCAGAGAAGAACAAAATGGTGAAGATGATGATGGAGGTTGGCGACTTGCTGGTTCGCGAAGGGATGGTGAGAGGTGGCGACCTCATAGTCCAGGTGAGGCAATTCAGGCTAATAAATAAGTTAGTAAACAATTTAGAAATAAAAAAAAAAAATGTGACTGTGTTGGTAATCTTGTGGAGGATTAAATCATGTGCAAATTGCAAATAGGCAATGCAAGCTTTCTTAGCTTTAAAATTTATTTTCTTCCAGGTGTTCCAAATGTATTTATTTTACCTTAAATACTGAGATAGGAGTATTTTCAGTTGACTGTTGGATTGATGTGGAAAGAAATGCTCATGATAAGAGAATAGTTCATTTGTGTTCTTCCTGACGTCAAATATAAACAATAAAAGCACAATAAAGTGGCAGTCTTCCTTAGCTTAAATAGAATTTTAAAAAGCTGAATCAGTATCTCATGATGATCAGATGTGAAGGTTTTCTTAGGACTTGACTAATTCCTTTAACATCATCTTGTTTAACATAAAAACAAACATTGAATCTTATTTATTAAATAAGCCCTAAATATCAAAGATACATCCCAAGGTTAAAAAACTTGGGGGGGGGATTCTGTTAGTTGAAAAGATATAAAATACTGCATTATGAAGAATATTAAAATATTCTCCCAATTTCTCTTTCAAGTATAAACTATTTTAGCATACTTTGCTGATAACGAGTCTTGAACTAGATATATTTCCTCATGAAATATTAATTTTGTTAACTTGTTTGTCATAGTTATATAACTGCCAATCTCACAAATCAAGTAACGCTAGGTGGTGTACAATAAAATTAAAATATTCAAATTAATATCAAAACACTTTATTAAAAATAATTATATTAAAAATATAAAAAGCACAAAACTAAACAGAATAGAAAGGAGATTGGGTGAACAGCCGGTACTAATTACATGGGAGCCATCTCAATATTTTAGCAGTCCTGGGTCACCAGGCCTGCTGCAGAACCAGGTCTTGAAGGACCTCCAGAAGTTTAAAAAAGATTGAAATGAAATTCTCCAGCCAATGGGACCCATAGCATATCCTCTCTGCTGGACCTGGTAGGACAGATATATGTAATCAGGGAGAGGTGAGTTCTCAAATAACCTTTTCCCATGCCATGTAGGACTTTAAAGGACAAAACCAACTCCTTGAATTGGACCCAGAAATAGACTGATAACCAATGCAGCTTACAAAGCAAAGATGTAATGTGTGTTGCTGCATTCTGCACCAATTGAAGCTTCCAAATACTCTTCAAGGGCAACTCCATTTAGAGCATATTAAGTAGTCCAACTAGGAGATAACTAGGCCATGAGTGACTGTGAGCAGAGCCTCCAGATCCTGGAACATGTGCAATGGGCACACAACCTGAAGCTGTTCAAAGGTCCTTCTAGCCACGGCTGCCACTTGCTCCTCAAGCAGAAGTCACGAATCTAGGAGAACTCCTAGATCAGAGGTCCCCAACCTTTTGGGCACCAGGGACCGGTTCTATGGAGAAAGGTTTTTCCATGGACCGGAGAGTGCATGGTTTTGTATGCTGCCTATATCCCACAGATGGGACTTTGCTTGTTTGTGTGGACCGGTTGCTGGCATGCCGTGGCCCAGTACCAGTCCACGGACCAGGGGTTGGGGATCCCTGTCCTAGATTGCACAGAACGTCAGGCAATGCAATCCAACCCTATCCAGCACCAAGACTGTATCTCTAGAACTGGTAGGCTCCAAAACCTGCTCAGTCTTGCCAAAGTTCAGCTGAAGCCTTTGTTCCCCATTTAGACCCTTACAGCCTCCAGGCATCAGAATAAGATATTCAGTCATCAAGGGCAGAGAGGTATAGTTGGGTATCATCAGCATACTGATTTTTTACCCTGTGAAGACAGATGAGCACTCCCAGCACTCTCATGTAGGTATTAACTAGGAAAGGGAAAGCATCAAACCCTAAGGCACCCCACATCGTAGAGGCAGATGGCAGAATCGCTCCTCTCCAACTTCTCTGAAGCTGTACAACCACCTAATGATAACAATATTATTAGCAATATTAATAATGTTATTGGTCTACATTAGAGATATATAGTTATTCTGATCTGAAAGGTACTTCCATCCAGCATGGGCACATTAACTCTAATGATGCTTGAGGAAGACATGCCTTTCTTGGCTTGCAGGGTCATTTCATCCCAGGAAAATACATATTTGAGGTAAGTAGGCATTGTGGAGGTGACAAAAGCTGTTTCACAGATTAGAATAGCTGTGTATAGCTAATGTAGAATCTTACTCTTCAGTAAATCCCATGCCTATGAGGCGCAGAAAGTTTATTTTCTGTTATATTTATATAAATATATTTATATTTACTGTATAATTTATATTATTTAACAGGGATTATATAAAGTGGCATATTCAAAGTTGAGCTTTCTGTACCCTTAACTATAAAACTTTTGGTTTTCTTTCTATGCTGTGTGGTTGAAAGTAGTTAGGTTGTAGTTAAAAATGGATTTTCATAACATTTTTATTCTCACAATGGAGTGCTAAAGCCGTGCACAACATGTGAAGATGCAAAACAAAACAGTGATTTAGTTAACATTCTAAATATTGATTGTTGAATGAGTTTGGCTGTCAGATACCTTATATGGTATTGACGTAATTTTTATATGCACAGTGATAAAAGACAAAATTTCTTTCAAGGTCCTCTATCTCAAATGTTAAAACTCAGGCTAAAATAAAATCAAGCTAGGAAACCTTTGATATGCATGCTGTAGCTATACCTTTATCTGTATTGATTGTAATTTAATTATCATTCCAATACAGTTTATACAAGATGTAAAGTTTTATCTGAATTTAATATTATATATTCACAGAAGTATTGTCTAAGCTAACGTTAAAGTATAGAATATAGCTCCTGATCCTTAGCTATGCAGCCACTTCATAAGACACAGTAGAGAGGAAACAAATTTTAAGTAATAAAGGATTAAGTTCTTATAAGGTACAGATTGTACTCACTACAAGTGATATAATCATTGATCACTTCAAGCATATGTAATATATATTGAATTATACATTCAGCTGTGTGTTCTTTATAAGGTAATTTAATCATGTATTGCCCTTAGTGAACAAGAATAGATAATTTTTAACTAAAATAATTCAAAAGCCACTACTATCAAGATGACTAATTGTAAGCTATGACTTTTAAGGACCACAAATTGAGTTACCAAAGATTGCGGCTAATGTTTACATACATTTAATACTGCTGCATTCAAATTATAGAATGAATAGAGAAAAGACATTCTCTATACTTATTTATAGTGGAAACCTGTTATGGATTTTTAGTATAAAAATGAAAAAAGTGAACATATGTCTTTGATTAGACAGGGTACATTATAGAAAGAAGAGCAATATGAGGGGAGAGAGAGAGAGAGAGAGAGAGAGAGAGAGAGAGAGAGAGAGAGAGAGATTAAATTTATTTAATTATTTATTCAATTTCTATAGCTGCCCAGCTCAACCAAGTGACTCTGAACGGCTTACATTCTAAAATTATAAAAGAATTAAAATGATTTTAAAAAACATTAAAACAATAAAAACATCCACAAAATAAGTACAAACAGCACCTGCAATGATTAACCAACTAATAGGAAAGCCAAATAATGGGGCCTTAACACATTCTGAGCCCCAGGCCCAGGTACAGTTATACTGCTTTGAAGAATGTTGAAAGAATGTTGATTTTTTATTTTTCTTCAACTTTTTTCTTTTCTTGTACTTTTTGTTTTTTGTTTGCTTTCTTTCATTTTCTTTTTTTTCTTCCTTTATATTAGTTTTTTAGTTTTTTACTGTGTTTAGAGACTTTAAGAAGAATTATATTCAAATATATTCAAATTATATTTAAAAATTATAGAATTATAGATATTGACCTGCCTCAAAATGTTACCTCTTTCCTAGAATATACAATAATATAATCTGCAGATTAAGTCACAGTTGCATAGTCATCTTCAAAGAAAAACTTTGGAATAAATATATCAACTACATATATTTTGTCAGAATATTTTTGCTGGCACTCATCCCAAAACAAGGAAGGACTTTATAATAGAATCAGTAACCACAAATTACACGCCAAACTACAGAAAAAACAGGAATACTAGCTAGTAGAGACAAAGAAGAGACTGACTCCTTGGAATAGAGAGTAGATCAGACATGTCAAACACAAGGCCCGTGGGCCGGTTGCAGCCCGCGAAGTGGTTTCATGTGGCTCGCGAAGCCATCCTGGAAACAGTGAGGGAACGGCTCCCACTGCATTGGCCCTGGCCCAGGCCAGCCGGGAGCCAATGTACAATTTTTTGGTGCCATCTATGCTGAAACATATTCGGTCTTAGCTCCACAAGGCCGTCTGGAAACGGCTTGGTGCCGCAGGTGCTTGAGGGCCAGGCTGGGCATATGACCTCTGCTGCCCAGGGCTCCGGGTAGCCCGCACCACCATCCAGCTCCCCCGCATGGCCTGAGAAGAACAGTGAAGCTCTTCCATGGACCATGCCTTGGCACTTGCCCTGGTCCCACCCCCTTCTGCCAGAGATCCTCAGATCTGTCCCACTCCTGCCCAGGCCCCCATAGGCACCCTTGACGCGAACTATGTAGAGTTGGCCATGCCTACCCAGTAGGCCCACACCCACCCTGGCCACACCCACCTGCCGCCAAGGGCAACTGCAATGCTGATGCGGCCCTCAATGAAATTGAGTTTGACACCCCTAGAGTAGATAATCCACAAAAGGAATATCATTCCTCCTTTTCTGGAATGATAGAATGTATGTATCTGATCTCAAAGGAAAGTATAAACATTTTCTGATAATCTCCCAAAATGAAAATTATTAGATTTCATTGTTTAGAGAAATTATCCTTTATCAGGGGCTGATTCTTATGACTCAAGAGCTAATGAGGCTTAACAATTTTATGGACTAAATAAAATTATAGGGCCTTTAACTCAGTGATGTGTTGATTTAGTTCTTGTGGACTTAGTTGGAGTCCACAAGATACAGGTAGTCCTTGATTAACAACAGCAGTTGAAACTGCAATTGCTGTTGCTAAGTGATATGGTTGTATAACATGATGTCAAGTGCTCTCATTGCTTAATAACAGAAATTCCAGCAGTCTTACTGTCATTAAGCAAGCATTGCATAGGTTGTTAAGTGAGGACTTCATGTGACCACTTGCTTCTCCATTGACTTTGCTTATGAGAGGCCAGCAGGAAAGGTTGCAAATTGCAATCACATAGCTATGAGATGCTGCAATGTTGTGGTTGTGAGCTGTGCACTGAGCACCTGCATCACGAATGCATTGGCCAGAACTCTGATGACCTGTCATAACTACCACTCATTCAGTGCTGTTATAAATTTGAATGTTCATTGAACAAGTGGTGGTTATATAAGGACCATCTGTACTTAATATTACTATGGTTTTAAACAGTAGTACTTTTTGGGGTAGCATTTTCTGGAATGGTACACTGATAATAATTTATAAACTGCCTCTGTCAAAGTAAACCATAAATTGTAGTGGCGTTCTGAAGTTCTGTCACTTTGTCCTCTCTTTTCCCTGTCCTCTTTTCCTCTATCCCTTTCTCCTTCCAAATAAGTTCTTGCCTATGGAACTCTTTTGTAAAGTTACTTTCCCGCCCCCCTTAGACGGCCCTCGTTCTGCAGGCTGGAGAGAGCACATGGAACGACGGCGAAGATTTGAATTTGATTTTCGAGACCGAGATGATGAAAGGGGTTACCGAAGAGTACGATGTGGCAGTGGCAGTATGGAGGATGATAGGGATAACCTTCCTGAATGGTGCTTAGAAGATGCTGAGGAGGAAATGGGGACTTTTGACTCATCTGGCGCATTCCTGTCCTTAAAAGTAAGGAATTTTCTATTGATTTGATATGTGACATGAATTATATGTAGCTGGTCGAATCAATTTTGATGTATATATCATCCTTAGAAAGTTCAAAAGGAACCAATTCCTGAAGAACAGGAAATGGATTTCCATCCTGTAGAGGAAAGAGAAGATCATTCTGATTCAGAAGAAAATCATAATGAAGAAGCCAAAGAATTAGATAAGACTCTTTTGAGAGAAGGCGTTAAGACAGAGCGAATAATATCAGGTAAGAGGGATTTATTAGATTGATGCTTCATCTGTTGTTTTAAACTGTCAAATTAGTTACATAGGTTTATTTATCTCATTTTAGAAGTAACAGAAGAAACAGGAAAAGAATCTTTACTGTCTACTAGATCAGGTACCTCACCAAAACCACAGTCACAGGAGCCATTACCAATAAGCCTGATTGAAAGGAAGGAAGACTGTATTCTAGTAGCAACAGAAAAATCAGAATTTGAAGAAAGTGAAATGGAGAATATTCCATCATCCAAAGTGCCCAATAGAGAAGGTAATCATAATAAGTGTGGAAGATACAAGAAATTTAAATGTCATTGAAATTGGAACATCTGAAAAATGGTTCAGAAAGAATAGAAAGATGGTTTAAGCACTTTTCAGTGATTACCAATAGTGTTAACAGTTTACTCAAATATTGATATAAAGTAGCACTTAACTTTTTGGATGGATTTTTGAAAACTTCCTAAACGTGATTTTTAGTATATTTCACAGATGAATGACATATACTGCAAAAAAGTTACAAATTTTGAGATGCTGACTAGATTCATCTTTAAAAACAATAAAAATGGGCTGTTTAATGCATATTTTGTACATGTATTAATACAATGTATTTGGTGATAGCTTTATGCCTTAAGAAGATTGCCCTGTCCCCCGAAGCCAGCTGTAGAGAGAGACTATTTTTTAAACAAGGGCTTAGGTGGATGGTGAATCTAGGAATAATAATAATTAACCCACGTTCTTGGGAAGCATCTGCTGATGGACAAAAATGTTAAATCCAGTCTGAACATTTGCCTGGCTGTACAATCAACCATGGTATATGAAACGTATATGCTATGCAAATCTCAGTGGTTCCAGACAGCTTGTAACAATCAAAGCAATTAAAATCAATAAAAGATAAAAATAAAAAATGGCAAGTGTAATGAAGCAAGGCGTCTCTCTCTCTCTCTCTCTATCACCAAAGGCCTGGGTGAAGAGCCAAGTTTTCATGGCTCTTCTAAACAAATAGTAAGTAATTATGAGCCAGATTCAGCCTGCAGGTTGCTTATGGCCTATAAGTAGTATAATATATTTATTTTATAGATTTTAACTCTGAAGTTAGGATATGAATATATTATTTAGTCAGTATCATGAAAGCTAGCTAGAGTATGTTAAGTGCAGGAAGCTCAAAAGTTATTTTTTCTGTTTTCTTTAAAAATAAATTGTGTAAGTGGGAAGCAGATGTAAAGACGATAGAAAAAGGAATGCAATTTCTGATTAATTATGTAATACTACAGAAAATAATTTTGTATCTGTTGCTTTCCCACTTCTAGACTCTCCTTCTATTGTCCAGTCTTTGCCACAAATTCCTTCAGAAGCAGTTTCCATTATCCCTCCTTCAGATTCTAGTCAAAATTCTGCCTTAAGATGTGTTCAAGCATCAGTTATGGCTGCTCCTGGTATGGGAAATGCTCTTACTGACCCTGACGATGAAGAGGGTCTCAAACATTTAGAACAGGTAAAAACATCTGTAAATTACTATTTTTTAAAGTTAATTTGTACTTCCCTTAGTTACATATATCTAAAAGGCCTAAAATTTTCATGTCTGTTTGTAACACTCAGTTGAGTGAAATTGGAAGGTGTAAAGACCACAATTATTGAACCACAGAATTCAAATGAGCTAACTTACAGAATGCCATTACCTATGATTCCCATGGCAATGAAAATTTGGGGAAGTTCTGGCTGTTTCAGTGCAATGCACCTTCCAACTACTCTTCCCAGAAACCTATAGATGATGTAGCATGAGGGAATGTAGGAAGGCTACAATACTGCCTTGTTTCCCATCTAACTCTGGCTCCTGTACCCAATCCAGGACCTCTGACAGAAAAATAATGAAATGTCAGCACTTAAGATATAAAAACTAGCATAGATTTCAAAGAGGCAAAGCAAAAATAAAATACTGTACAATGAAGACTTGATATAGAACTAAAATATTTATAGAGAAAATAAAGTATTGAACTATTATCCTACTTTCATTAATTTAGGTGGTAAAGGGAGGTTTTGCTAACTCAAAAAGTTGGGGAGAATGGTGATTTTGATATTTACAACAGTTGTGATTGATGCCACTTAAATAGATTTTAAAAACTATCTACACTTATGCTACATAAAATAGAGTCTTTAAGGTTCAAAGAAGACTGGAAATCTAGCTTTTGATAGTGACAATTAATGACATATGTTTAGCAATATCATAGTAAACGTAAGCAGAATTAGAGATGATTAGCACTTAGACCACAGACTACTCAGAAACAGAAAAGAAGGTAGGCCAAAAATATTACTTTGCTTTAGAGTTGCTATTTGTGTAATTAGTCAGGTTTCTGGTTGATTTGTGATTCTTTCATATATTTTTTTATTCATGATGTGATCTCACCACTCTGACAAAAAGGAAAGGGACATTAGACCTATAGCAATTCTTCATTATCAGTATTTTAATTACTTCCTGGAAGTTTCTTGCTTTTAGGATAAACAGTTTTCATTTATTGATCTATAATTTGTTAGTTTTATAATTCTGTAATGCTGTATTATATCTTCCTCTGCTTTATTAGTAGATGATACCACATAGTAGATTTTCATTTTGCCATTCAGCCCAGCCCTAGCACCTCGATATTCCCATATGCCTCAGATAGATGAGTTATCTCTTTTTTCTTGGAAGTCTTTCACAAGAACTTCTTATGTAGCTAAACAGAGATTGTTTGGAGATCATATTAAACATGGTCTCTTCACTACCAGGTTTATACACTTTGGTATTCCTCTTACATTTGAACTTTCAAAGTGATACCTTCCAGGATTTCTTCATTTTATGCTCCAGTGGAAGGTATTCCTTTAAATAAAAAAACTGCAAGTATAGTCTATGTTTACCCAAGAATACTTCTTCTAGTCCCTAATTTCTCTAGTTTACCCCACACTGATGTCAAAATAATGGCTACCATTCCTTTCATCTTCTCTCGCATTTGTAGTAGCTGTGAGCCCACCTTTCCTTGATCCAATATATCATCGAAATTTCTGATATTGGGTGGAGGAGGGTTCATAGGCCATTCTTTGCTTACCTTGAGTCATATTTGAGACTCATAGAGACCACCCTGAAGGCCACCTAGTTACTTGGTTGTAAAGAAAATTCTTTGTGTGACCAAATGTGAATTCATGTATTCATCCCTCTTGATGTTAGTGATCTCAAAGTTCTTTTCACTGATGTGTGATTTATAGTAAATTTAATTTAGTAAGTAATTCACATTCAGGTTCTAAAGCACAATTATTGTTGTCTGCTAAATCAGTATTTTATTATTCCTGACCAACAAACAACATTCTTTTAAACTGCCTTTTAATGCAGAGACTCTTGTTGATTTCATTGATTATGTGTCCAATTTTCATTGAGCATTCTAATTTATATATAATTATGTACAATGTAAGACCAGTCTTAAGGATTTGAAATAGCTTTTTTCTTTTCTACCTCTAACCATATTAATTACAAAGATATTTTCACTATATTTCAGTGATTGCTTACCAATACAATTGCTTACAATGGTATTCTCCATAGTATTTAATGTAACTTCTGTTAATTATAGCAAGCAGAAAAAATGGTGGCATATTTGCAAGATAGTGCCTTGGATGATGAAAGATTAGCAGCCAAACTTCAAGAGCAGAGAGCAAAGGGTACTTTAGTACCATTACACCATGAGTCCATGCAAAAATGGTTCTACAAAGATCCTCAAGGAGAAATTCAGGGTAAGTGTTTTGTTTTGTTTGTTTGTTTCAATTAATTTGAAACAAGAGAAATCATTTACAGGATGAATGGATGGATGGACAGACAGATAGACAGAGTTTCCATTGGGAAGATTATCGGCTATAACTATTAAACATGTCAGTAAATGTGGCACATCTAGCCAATTTCTGAAAGCCAATGTAGTTGTAGTGATTAAAATGTCAGAACAGGTCTATGGAGAATCTGGTTCAAAACTCCATTCAGTCAATACTGCTTAGCAGATGACATTGGATTAGTCGTGCATTTTGATACTCTGGGTCGTAACCTTCACTGTGGTTAAGCAAACACTACAGTTATGTGAACTAATAGTTCGCTAAGAGCATAGTTTGCTGAAACAGGAAGTAAATGCCAGTTTTTGACAAAATGCATAACATGTAATCACGTAAATGACTCAAGTGCAGTCACATGACCATGGAATATATGACCATGAAAACTTTGAATCCAGATCGTAAGTATTGCACCCAGGTAGATCTGTCAGGACTTTGAATGGTCACTAAGTAACTGTTTGTAACTCAAGGGTTACTTGTAGTCAAGGCAGTCATCAAAAATCAAAACTGACTCAAAGGGACTCGATAAATAAATAAGTAAAATATTAAGAATGATCCCTAACAAACTTCCATGGATCTGTGATTATTCGTACAACATTGACCGTATGTTTTCTCCCTTATTTCTGTGGATTTCAACTTTGTATATATGTTGGTGGGTAATTTTGCAGGTCCATTCAGTAATCAGGAGATGACAGAGTGGTTCCAAGCTGGATATTTCACAATGTCATTATTGGTGAAAAGAGCATGTGATGACAGTTTCCAGCCCCTTGGAGACATCATGAAAATATGGGGCAGGGTCCCTTTCACTCCAGGGCCAGCATCATCTCTGCATATGGTAAATTCATAAACTGAATTAAAACAATTAGACAAGAAAGGCCAATTATAGGAATTTATATGCTTTTGAACTGTAGTGAACTTTAGGGAAACTAAAGTTTCCAAGTTTATTTTTAAGAGAGAGGCACTTCACATGAAGTAAGAGAGTTGTATGCATAATACTTAGTATTAAGGCAGAATCAGTTTTCCTTTTCACTGATTTTCAAAACTGTTATTCAATAACTTTTAAGTAAAATTGCTTCAGCTATTACATTACCTTGGATATCGATGAATGATATATACCATTCTTATCTGAGCTCTCAAACTAGAATGATAGATCTTTTATCTTATAGGAAGTCCTCATACTAGAGATTGAATCCACCCTGTAGAGGGGAGACTATTTTAGTATATGTTCTTATGGATTTACACATTACCTGAAAAGCACAAGGCTGATTTTATCCTTATGGGAACTCATGGGGTACATAAAATCATTAAAGTTGGTTATTAGATCTTACGTGATTCAGATGCCTGTGCTGGAAATTGAACACTTAGGTCATAGAACTTTCTACAGTGTTTCTAGCTTTATGAGCTATAATGGCCCTCATCAAGGGGAGAAAGGGGATATATGGATAATTTTGGCAAACACAGCCTATTTCAACTCAGATTGCCATGTTTCCCTAAAAGTAAGACCTACCGAGAAGATAAGCCCTAGCTTGATTTTTGGGGGTGGGCCCAATATAAGCCCTACCCTGAAAATAAGCCTTAGTTTTGGGGCAAGGTGCATGCCTAAAAATCAAGGTAGAGTGGGGGTGGAGTGGAGCTGCCCTATGCACTCTGCATCCACTTACCTTACCAGTAGGACTGCTGCAAATAGGCCTCCTACGCCCCAACACTGGTTGCGCTGTGTGGCTCATCGTGCCATTGTTGCTTCTCGCGGCAAGAGGCCACATGGTGCTTTGGGCCATTTGCAGGAGGCCGCTTGGTGCTTCGGGCCATTGCCACCGCTCGTGGCAGGACGTTGCACAGAGTTTTGGGGCGTTGCTGCCAATCGCGGCAAGACTCTGCATGGTGCTTCGGGCTGTTTTCAGGAGGCCACATGGTGCTTCAGGCCATTGCCACCAGTCACGGCAAGATGCCATGCACTACTTCAGGCCGTTGCCACTGGTTGCGGTAGGACATCATGCGGCGCCTCAGGCTGTTGCCACCAAAGCACCATGCAGCCTCCTGCAAATGGCCCAAAGCACCACACAGCATCCTGCCACAGCCAGTGGCAACGGCCCAAAGCATCAAGCGGCTTCCTGCAAACGGTCCAAAGCACCAAGTGGCATCCTACCGTGACCGGCGGCACCGGCACAATAGCCATGTGGCATCCGGCCAAAAGTGGCAGCAAGTGACCACTGAAGAAGTCAAGCAGCGATACGACAGGTGTCAGGGCATGGGAGGCCTGGCTGCTGTGGTCCTAAGGTAAGAAATCCTCCGAAAATAAGATCTAGTGCCTATTTTTGAGGCAAAAAAAAAAAAAATATATATGTCCAGGTCTTATTTTCCGGGAAACACGATATGTCACTTTACCTGATCATTCCTGGTGACTATGTGAATATATCAGTGTAGTTTTCTTGGCAATACTATGGTATAATTTGGATTTTCTTCTACTTTTTATTGAATAAACTAATTTTATATTTATTTTATATTCCTATTTTTATAAAAGTATTGCTGAATTGGCTATGGATTCAAAAAGCACTTCCGAGGAAACATATTTAAGAGAAAATGTTTAATAAACAATCCAATACATCTTATAATAACATAGAACTGCTTTAACAATTTGTTTGAAAGTAGATCCATGCTATTATGGGAAAGTTCAACAGTTGTGCCACAACAGAAAATATCTTTCTTCTATTCCTGCCAGTGTAACCTTACTTTATATGTTCAAAAAGTCCCTCTGATGCAGATCTTTTAAAATGAGCAAATATTTGAGCAATGTGGCTTGTGCCCAAAAACAAATTAGCAACTCTTGATAAGAGAAAGTGTTATATTTCCAGTGAAGTGTAAATTAGTGAACAACCTGGCCACCAGATTTTAGAGAATGCTGTTCAAGATTAAGTCCAATTAAAGAGCATTACATCAATCTAAATCAGAGATAATAGCATGTTTATTTAAATTGCCTAATGTATACAGTTAACAATTCAGCACTTGCAGAATTTTAGTGGCCATTATAGAACTGTTGTTTTGTTTATTTGTAAATGTCTATACCATTTACATGTAATACATGTATACCGAGAAAATGAACTAAAGCTGAGCCTGCCTTCTCCATGAAATACTTAATATGGGTAGTTCTCAGGTTACAACTGTAATTGAGGTCAGAATTTCTATTGCTAAACAATGCAGCCAATAAAGCATGATATCATGTGACTGCATCAGTGAGCGACAGCAGTCTCAGGAGTCTCTGTTGCAATCATTAACCAAATCCATCACTTGTCAGGTAAGGGACCACCTCTTCTGCCTCCTCTTGAACTCTTCTCATTTGACTATCTCTCCCCCACCCCACTCTCTGCCCTTTCGGCTGCCATGAACAGTGGTATTTCTTTGCAAAAGTGTTGCTACAGTTCAAATAGAGGCCCAGATCCTTCAGCAGTCTTAACCGGCCACCTAATGGGCCTCTACATCAGCACCAGCTCCCCTGTCCCTGCTGAGGAGAACCATCTCAATACCATGGCAGCCACTACAACCACAGAGCACAATGTCCCAGCCATCCTGCTGCCATGCCACTCTCAGCTGACCTTGCCCATGTTTCTCCTACTGATAATGTGCCTGGTCTGGTCCTATACAAGACAGCTGCTGACTGTGCCAGGCCTTCCTCTCAAGGCCATGTGCACCATTCTTGTGATGTTTCTGAAGCCTTTCTGAAGCATTGCGAGAACAGCAGATGCAGCTTTCTCACAATGCTTCTGACAGCCTCAGAAACTTTCTAAAGGCTTTCTGAAGCATTGTAATAATGGTGTAAATCGCCTTGGAGAAAGAAGCCTGGCGTGATTGGCAGCTGCTTTGCAAAGGTCCAGGCTAGGCACACCTCAGCAGTAGGAGAGTCAGAAGGGCAGCAGAGGCAGCTGGGGCTTTACATTCTGGAGCTGGGCTGGCTGGCCATGATGTGGAGTTGGAGGCACCACTGTTGTGGCAGTGGTGCTGAAATAGATCAGTGGTGACCAGCTGAGATCACTGAAGACCCCAGGTCTCTACTTCAGTGTCAGTGCTGCTGCCACCAAGGATTGCCAGTGTGCAGGGAGACTAAAAGGGCAGAAATGGGAAGAGATAAATGGGAGAAGAGAATTGAAGTGCCCCTGCAGACCAGGTACTGCAAAGGCCATAATTTTAGGGATCAGTCAAAAATACTATCCATTCAGAATTGCTGCAACTTGGAATGGTCACTGAACAAATGGTCATTAAGTGAGGATTACTTTATGATCAAACAAGTGGTAGAGTTTCTTCCCAAGTTTGGTAACTGATTTGTTTACACCCACAGGGTGAGTTGGACCAAGAACGTCTGACTAGACAACAGGAATTTACGGCCATGTATCAAATGCAGCATCTCCAGTACCAGCAATTTTTGTTACAGTAAGTCTGTTGAAAGTCTATGGTTTTTTGCTGATGACTCAAAAGTGTGTAATAGATTTGATGTTCCTGGAGGTATTCATAACACAAAAAATGATTTGGCATCGTTGGAAAATTGGTCAAAAATATGGAAACTGCAGTTCAGGAGATATAGAAATACTAGCTTCTGTAGCTTATGTATACACACAGTCAAACCATTGTGTGTTTCCAGAATCAGATTACATGTGTGTGTGTTATATGTGCATATATTAATGAAGGTGTTTAAAATAAAAATAATAATGTTGTAAGTCAGAATGACTATTTTGCATTTCCTTTTGAAGACAACAATATGCACAAGTGATGGCACAACAGCAAAAAGCAGCTGTCTCATCTCAGCAACAGCAGCAACTGACTCTCCTTTTGCAACAATTCCAGGCACTTAAAATGAGGTAAATATGCAGGGTCCAGGGTCACTGATGTGTTTTCTCTGACAAATACATCTCTTTATTTGCATGCAACTATCTGTCGCATTCATGCTTTATATGATTTACTTTGTACATTACCAATGTATCATATTATTGAAGGAATGCTCATGATACAACAGAGAAATTTGTCAACTGAATGGGATGGGTGCAATTTTTTGGGATTCCTTTTCTCTCAGGAGTTTATATTCTGGTGTTCAGAGTGCTGTGGATCAGCATGTCAGCTGGTAAGGAATCTTCCTGAATATCATGTCCTCATTCCACTGAAGCTTCTGCAGAACCAAATAGCTGGGTAACATGTACTTTCAAAATTCTTCAGCTTCCTCAAATGGAATGGGGATAAAAAAATCTTACAGGAAGTCCTCGAGTTATCCCTGTAATTGAACCTTCAATTACAGCTATGACGATTATAAAGCAGGTCACCATGTGACTGAAACTATTTTACAAACTTTTTTGTGGTGGTCCTTAAGCAAACTCATTGTTCGCTATGGGGCAGTTTTTGCCGGGAGGACCATTTATATAATTATATTTATTAATTTGTATCTTCCTGCAGTATATTTATTTTCAATAATGCAGACTTTATACTTAATTTCCGGTTGATAGTATTCAAAGTTTTTATGAAACTTCTAGATTTTGCTCAACCCTGGAAAATACAGAGAAGTACAATACTACTTTAAAACTGGCTTTTGGGAAGGAAAGGAAACAGAAATGTATTAAAACATGATAACTTTTGTCTTGAGAGAGGGTGTTTACTTTCAGTCTTTATGTTATAGAAAAGTTGAACAGAACACGGTGCCACCTGTAACAAGGTCAATGTCAGACACTAGTTCAATTTGGGAACTTCAGTCAGCTGCTCCACAAACTACTGGTAGGAAACTGTTTTTGAATGTTTATATTGGCTGCATTTAGATATAATATTAAAATTACTAAACCAAAGTTTTAGTGAAATTGCAAGTAACATAAGTTTCAAAGCTGTGGTTTGAAATTCTTCTGCAAGCCAAGATTTTCAACCCTAATTTTAAGCAGTTATGAAACAATGATTTGTGGGGTTTGAATATAATAAACTATCATTATTACTGAGATATTCTGTGTTCTTAGAAGTTATCTAATTAACATACTGATATCTCAGACTTATATAAATAGGACCTTAAATAGTTTAAAGCAGTGATGGCGAACCTTTTAGAGACTGAGTGCCCAAACTGCAACCCAAAACCTACTTATGCATCGTCGAGTGCTGGGTGGGTGTGGCCCATTGGCTGGGCATGGCCCATTGGCTGGGCATGGCTGCGGTGGTAATGGCAGACTGGGTGGGACTAAAAAGATCAATCAATCAATTCCAACTTTGCAAGATCTTTTTTTTTCCACGAGAAGTTGAAATTGACTGATTGGACCTTTTTTTTTTTTTTTTGCACATGGCAGCGGAGGCCTAAAGCAAAAAGATTTTATAAAATCCAGCTGAAGGCCTAGGACTGGGGCGACGGCGCGCATGCCCACAGAGAGGGCTCTGAGTGCCGCCTCTGGCACCCGTGCCATAGGTTTGCCACCACTGTTTTAAAGTAAGGAAATTAATATTACTGAATATATTATTCAGCTCATTGGCTTTCATATGTCTGTTATAATATAAAATGCTTTCTAAATGTTTATTTTCATTTGATTTCTTCTGCATTTTTATTGTCACCGATTGATTTCTACCATTGTCTCAGCATTCTGCTCAACAATAATCCCTTTCTACATTTCTTCCTTGAGAAATCCAGCTGGATTTTGTGTCCCATATCTTTAGATCACTTAGGAATCCAATCCTTAGGAACAAAAAAGATTTCCAATATAAGAATTTGCCAGAATTATGTATTGCAATTACTTTAAAAATTCAAGTAATTGATTAGAGAATATGCTACTACTAACTTAGTCTTATTCCTAATTTAAATGTTTCTTATTTTTATATACTTGATTTATATACATTACATATCTACAGTCTGTATTTTTTCTCTGTTTGCTTTGAAGTCTGGGAAGGAAATAGTGTCTGGGACCTCCCGATTGATACTGCAGCTCAGGGACCAGCTTTAGAACAGTTACAGCAGCTTGAAAAGGCCAAAGTTGCAAAGGTAAGGAGTAGTATATATTTTACTATATGGCATGTTTTTACTTCTAATTTATCTTTTTATAGCAGTTTATGTGATGTGGCAGATGCCATTTGCATAAATAGAGCAACTTTTAACAAATGGTTGATTAATTATGTGCTATCAAATTAGTGTAGACTTTTAGTGATCACATAGATAGACTTTCTCCATGACAATCTGTTCTAACTTGGTACTCTCGCTCTTTCAGTGGTGCATTGATTACCACTTAACTGAGTTGACCCACCTTGCTCTGGTCATCTTTTGTTTCTTTCCACCTTTCCCAGAATAAGAGCCTTCACAGGGAGCTAGGTCTTTGCATTATGTGTCCAAAGTAGGAATTTGAACCTGGTTGCTTGTGCCTTGAGTAAGAACACTGGGTTGGTTTGTTCGATGATCCATTTTCTTATTTGGACATTAAATAAAAATAGTTAATTCTTGAGCAGATATTCTTTTAGCACATTATAAAGACAAAATACTGGAAAGACATTCACTACTGTATTTGTAGAGAAAGATGCTAAGGCAAAAGCATATATTAGCAAGAATCATGCAGTTAGAGTATTTAGAGATAATTCTATTGTCATATTTCCAGTATTGCTCTTAAATTTTAGCTAGAGCAGGAACGGAGGGAAGTTGAATTAAGGGCCAAAAGAGAAGAAGAAGAACGTAAGAGACAGGAGGAACTTCGGAGGCAACAGGAAGAACTAATTAGGAGACAGGAGGAAGAAAGAAAAAGAAGAGAAGAAGAGGAGTTAGCTCGGAGGAAACAGGTGACAACTCAAATATGATCAATAAATACTATTGTCATGTTAAAAAATAAGCCATTTTTCCAGTATTGTGCATGTGTGTAAGAAAGAAACATTGTAGAATTTAATTTTATTCTTACACCTTTCTACTTTATATCAGTAAAGCCACAGGAGCAACTTCAGGGCCACTCTGAAGAATATTGTAACTATCTGTCAGATAAAAATGTTCAGATCCACTCAGAATTGAACCTGACTGAACAAAACTGACTGAAGTGTCTGAAGCATGATTTTGTAGATTTATCTGAGATAAGTGATTTTTGTGGAAGTAGACAGGATTAGCTCACAGGGATCAGCAGGTGTGCCTTTTCTGCTATAGTCCCTGCCCTCTGGAATATTCTATCTTCAGAATTGGGATGACCCAAATCTGGCTTTTCATAAGGCTGAGACGACCTAGTTATGTGTCCTGGCTTGGAGCCCGACATGTGTTAAGGACCCTATTTCTTGACCATATTAAAATCCATACATCTATGGTGGTAACTTTACTCAGCCACCATATATATTCATTTATATTGTTTTCATTATCTTACGGCTATGCCATAAGTAACTTGGAGTCACTTGTTGAGATGGATGGCTATAGAAATCAAATAAATAAAAACAGTGTTTCATAGTGGTGCAGTTATTGAGTGGTGCAATATTGCAGGAAAACTCTGCCACAGCCTGGAATTTGATCCTGACAGGACTCAAGGTCGACTCAACCTTCCATCCTTCCAAGGTTGGTAAAATGAGGTCCTAGATTGTTGGGGCAACATGCAAAGAATGCTGACATTGTAAACCGTCCAGAGAGTGCTGTAAAGCACCAGGGGTCAGTATGTAAGTCTAAATGCTATTGCTATAGTCTCAAAATAAGAGAATTATCTATTAAATGGGAAAAAAATCCAACTGTTGAAAAGCAATAAGTTAACCAACATTCCAGTTATCTTCTGTTTGTATTTTTAAAGGATGTAATTAAAAACTATAACATCGCTCCTGAAAAAAATCTTGTCTATTTACTTGTACTCTGCATATACTAATTACTTAATAGTTACAAGATTTTCTCTTTCCAAAAGGCAGACAGAGATTTCAGATGATGCCGACAAAATTTGCTAGCTTAATTTTTTTTAAAAAAAAGCTTGAATGAAATGAATAGCAATGATTAAAGGAAACCCACTGTACTTCTTACTCCATCTTTACTCCTTCATTCTGAAGGAGCCAAGGGCCTTTCCTGTTGAAACGTTTTGTGTAGCAAGAAAACAACCAGCAGAATCTGTGCCACATTCTAGGGAGTGGGGCATCTGGGTGGGCAGGTAGTGCCACGTTATGTATTAAATATATAAATTTACAAGAAAAATAATTTTTGAATAGTAATTTTACAATATTCAGCCTGTTCATGTTGCTTGTAAACTTTTCTTTTTGTGTAAGGAGGAAGCCCTCAGGCGGCAACGGGAACAAGAAATTGCACTAAGGAGGCAGCGAGAGGAAGAGGAAAGGCAACAACAGGAAGAAGCACTTAGAAGGTTGGAAGAAAGGAGAAGAGAAGAAGAGGAAAGACGGCAGCGAGAAGAGTTGCTTCGCAAACAGGTGAAAAGAAGGATGCTGATCTATTCAGAATGAATAGACTTGATAATCTCTGCTGCCTTCATGAAAAGGAGATAACTTGCATATTTCCTTCCCAGCGATGATTGTAATTTTAATAGGCCATCATAGATGAAACAGAAAAGAAATTGTTATTGTTATAAAAACACAAGGTTTTTAGCAATTCAAAATTGATAAATGATGATACCGCTCCAACTGGACAAATTTTTAAATGAACTTTGAAAACCTGTTTTCCTAAAACTGCGATATCGGGGTGTTCCTCTTTGGTGTGAAGTTTTTGTTCAGTTTGGGTGGGTTTCTTCTCTCCCTGTTACATGTACTGCCATGTTTACTTTTTCTTTATCTGTTTTTTAGAAGTTGTATCTGTTTTTGCATTCAAGTCGCCCAGAGTTAGTTGGGGGTAGACAATGAGTTATATAATTAATTAAGGACTACTTAGTTGAATTATTTGAAATTAGTTCTATTCTATCAAACAGTTATGTTTTGGAGCAAGTTGCACTATTTGAAGCAGAGAATACCTACATATCTGTATAATTTGAAATACTTTGAAAGTCAGCATTTTAATCTAGAATTTTAGAAGATTTGCTTTTTTTCTGAACCTGGAAAGGAAGAGGAGGCTGCCAAATGGGCACGTGAAGAAGAGGCCAAGCGTCAGATAGAAGAAAACCGACTGCGCCTCGAAGAAGAAGCAGCTCAGCAGCGGCAAGAAGAGGAAGAACAGAAGCGGAAAGAGCTGGAACTCCAACGCCAGAAGGAAATTATGAGGCTGAGGCAGCAGCAGCAGGAAGCTTTGCGTCGATTGCAGCAGCAGCAACAGCAGCAGCAACTCGCACAGATGAAGGTACCAATATTCTCCAGTGTAACTTTTGTATTGTTTTCAAATGAATAATGACTGTTGTTAACAAACGAATATGGAATTATGCTCATAACGAGACTAGAGATTCATCCTGTTAATTCTGCAGAATCTGCACAATTGTTGCTGTTTTTAACTTTAGATCAGAATATGTATATCTCTTATTTTAATGAACAGCCTGTTTGCTGTTCCGTGTTTCAGGCAGACAGAAAATAAGCCCTCTTTTGAGCCCCAAAGGAAGCCGATAGCATTATTTCTTTCCTCTCTAAAAAAAAAAAAAACTTTTAAACTTACCAAGTAGCATGTGTTAGTTCTAAATCTAGAACTATGAGAGGAAAATGTACAGGTAGTCCTCGTTTAATGACTGTTCCTCCGATGACCTTAGTTACAGGGGCGCTTTTTGAAGTTGTAGCTTTGGCAGCCGCCCCACAGTCGTTTGATCCAAATTCAGATATTTGGCAGCTCACAGCATGTGCTTCAACTCCCCCCACCTGTTTACCTCTCCCCCCTTCTCTGCCCTTTTGGCTACTCTGCATTCTGCCATTCCTGCTGCCCTGCCCTCTGCTGCTCCAGCTAACCTTTGCCATCTTCTTCCTCCTGCTACTGACAAAGCACACCCAGCTGACCCAGCTCTTGGCCCTTTTCAGTGCCTGACACCCTGCACTCGGCCACCATCCCCAGCTGACCTTTGCTGTCTTCCTCCTCTTCCTGTTCACAAGACACTGTCAGCTGAGGCAGCTGCTGGCCCTTAGCAAAGCCTCCTGCAGTAGCAGCAGGAGGAAGAAGACACAGAAGGCCAACTGTGGGTGGGAGGTGGAACGAGGGAGACTAAAAAGTTTGAAATGCAGGGGAGATGAGCAGATGGGGGGAACTGAATCAGAGGCAAGCTTGGCAGAACAGCAGAACCTCATCTGCTGAAAGGAGCTCACCAGGCCTGGATGAAGAGAAGGCAGCAGGGTAAGAGAAATGTGAGTTTCCTTGTCTAACAACAGCATGGTCCTGGCCTTAGGACCACAACCAGGAATAGCTGGAACTCCTATTGCTAAGCAGGGTGGTCACATGTTTCACCTAACAACCACTTCATTTAGCAATGGTCATTCTGGCCCCAATTTGGGTCATTAAACAAAGACTACTTGTACAATATTTCTAGTAGTCACAACAGAGGGTGTTAATACCACCATATCCTTTTTCTAAGAGAAGCTGTAACGGAATAGCTCATGCTAAAGATGCAAATTTACAGAATGTAATTATTTTAAAGACAGATTGTAATTCTTTTCTGAATCTATACTACTCTTGATCTTTGAAGAACTCTATAACTCCAGCAGCACAAATGCAGGTATTCGTTGACTTATGACCACAGTTGGGTCCAGAATTTCCATTGCTAAGCAATGCAGTCAGAACATGCAATGTCATCTGACTACACTCCCCATTGCTGCTGTTAAGCAAATTCCAATGGTTGTTAGGTAAGGACCCAACCCAATCCAAACCATTCCAGGTTTAGATCCCTCCTAGCCACAAGCCTCAGTTCTCCTGGGCTTCCCCTTCAACTCCCTCCAACTGCTTATTTCCCTCCCTTCATCTCTGCCCTTTTGGCTGCTCTGCACCCTGTCTTGCACCTGGAAGCCTCAGCTACCCCTACTCAGCAGTGTAGTGCAAAACTGTCTTACCCCAAAAAGTTCCAACAACACCATGCACAAAACCTCAGCTTCTCAGGAAGTGCCCCAGTCCCAGCTATATTTGTCTCTGCCACCCTGTACTCCAAGGCCCCTGCCACCCCAGCTGACCTCCGATGTTTGGTCCTGCAGCTGATGAGGTGCATCCATCCTACCCCTTCCCAGGTCTCATGAGGTAACCACTATGCCCAACTTGAGAAGAAAATCTCCTGCAGCCAGCCGATGCTTTGCGAAGAGTCAGGGCAGGGATCACGGAGTGTAGGGGGTCAAAAGATATAAATGCGGGGGACAGATAGGTAAATTGGGGGAGTTGAAGCAACCCTGTGGTTGTAAGTGTGTGTAGGCTGCTAAGTGCCTTAATCTTGATCATGTGACCATGAGGTACTGCAACAGCTGTAACCTTGTGGACCAGTTGTAAGTCCCTTCATTCAACACCACTGTAACTTTGACTGATCACTCAACAACTGAGCATAAGTTATTTGTGTATAATAAGCAATATTGTATTTTTATGCATTATACTTCACTACTTCCTCCTCCTCCTCCTCCTCCTCCTCCTCCTCCTCCTCCTCCTCCTCCTCCTCCTCCTCCTCCTCCTCCTCCTCCTCCTCCTCCTCCTCCTCCTCCTCCTCCTTATCTTTCCAGGCTGTCCGGTATGGCAAACCATTTCACATTTAATCATTCTAGATAAAACATTTGTCCAAAGACTCTGTCTCATGAATACTTATCTTACTTTTGTTAATGCATCTTTTGGAGTTTCCCCTTCTGAATTACTGGTTCTTCAACTCTTTTAGCTGTTTCCCTTCCTTTACATGGGATATTTAAGCTCAATAAAATCCATTTATTTTTCAGAGCTCTCTACCTCGACCTTTAATCAGAACTTTACTATTGTAGAAACTTTCTCTTTGTTGGTAATATGAAATTTATATTGAGGTACAATCTTGGGTGTCATACAGAAAAGAATTGCAATTCTACAGTATAAGAGAGCAATAATCAAATTGTGCTTAAGCTAGTACCTGTAGTCTTGTTGCCCTTTCTTATCATATTTTTTATGTATTTCTTATCTCCATTTGGAGAATCTAACTGGTATCTTCTGTGTATATTTGCTCCTAGCTCCCTTCTTCTTCAACATGGGGTCAGCAATCTAGTTCAAGAGCTTGTCAATCACAGGCAACATTATCATTAGCAGAAATCCAAAAGCTTGAAGAAGAAAGAGAAAAACAACTTCGAGAAGAGGTAAATGTTATAGCAGGGGTGTCAAACTCAATTTCATTGAGGGCCAAATCAACATTATAGTTGCCCTCAAAGGGCCAGGTGGGTGTGGCCTGGTGGGTGTGGTCAGTTCATAACTCATGCCGAGGGGGCCTGGGGGGGGCAGAGAAGGCTGGGAGGGGGGATCCAGAGGTCTCCAGTGGAGGAAGTGGAGACCTCTGGATGGATGAGGCTTTGGCACCAAGGCAAGTGCCAAAGCCTCATCCATCAGAGGAGCCTCACTGTCCACTAGACAAGAGGCCGAGGGGGGGGGGGTGCCCGGCTCATTGCATGGGAGATAGGACCTGGCCCGTGGGACAAAAGATGGGCAGAGTCAAGTGTCAGCGGGGTGCGGCTCCAGGTTGCCCTCTCTACCGCCTGGCAGGGCCAGAGAGGGGAATACAGCACTCATTGTGGACAAGGAGACGAGCGTGGGGTGGCATGAGCCACTCATGGAGAAGAAGGGCTGTGCCAGCGGAATACCATGGCCTGAGCAGAGAGGAGTCCGGGCGCAGACATTTCCGGAGGAGGATCCAGGCACCAAGTTAGCGATGATGGTCCCCCGGGCTGCCCGGAGCCCTGGGCAGCGGAGGCCAAGTGCCCAGCCTGGCCCCGAGCTCCTGGGGTACCAGGACCCTGCAGCCCAGCTAGCCCACTTCCCCGAGGGGCTCCTGGCTGCTGCCAGTGCTGCCATGGGACGAGGTGAGGCTGGGCGCGCAAGGCCAGGCATGGAGAGGCTGGATAAGGCAAGGCTGGGCATGGCAAGGAGAGGAGAGGGCGGGCATGGCATAGCTAGGTGAGAAGCCGGGAGAGGAGAGGAGAGGTTGGGCAAGGTGGGGCTGGGCGAGGAGGCCGGGCAAGGTGAGGCTGTGCATGATGAGGAGAGGAGAGGCAAGGCCTGGTGTGGCAAGGAGATGCCGGGCAAGCGGGGCTGGACAAGGAGAGGAGAGGCTGGGCAAGGCGAAGCCAGGCATGACGAGGCAAGGAGAAGTCGGGCTTGACGAGGAGAGGCCGGGCATGACAAGGCAAGGTGAACGAACTGCAGCTGCTGCCGGTCACTGCCAGCCCCTGTGCATTATCTGGCTCCTGTGCATGCGCCCATGGGGGTGCCTGGCCAGGGTGGGATCGGCTGGGGCTGAGACAGCCCCCGCTGTTTCCAGGGTGACCCCACAGGCCAGATCTAACCACATCATGGGCTGGATCTGGCCCGCGGGCCTTGAGTTTGACATATCTATGTTTAAGAAAAGTAGTTTTGGATAGCTGCTAAAAGAGAAATCTGGAATTTGTTTCCTTAAGTCTGGGATGTGCATTGGGAAAGACATTACATGATTCTACCTATTTTTTTGTCCTTCTGAAAAATTCACTGTTGCTTGCAAAAATGAGTGGTGGCTACTAGAGGGCACTCCTGTGATGTTTTGCAATCAAGTTTTGCATTTACTCTCTTCTAGCAAAGGCGTCAACAGCGTGAACTAATGAAAGCTCTCCAGCAGGAACAGCAGCAGCAGCAACAGAAGCTGTCTGGTTGGGGAAATGTTGCCAAGTCTGCCGGCACTACAAAATCTCTCTTGGAGATACAGCAGGAAGAGGCAAGGCAGATGCAGAAGCAGCAACATCAGCAGCAGCAGCAACAGAGCAGATCCCGCAGTAGTACAGTGAGTAGCTCCTAAATTTTAATGTTTATAAATTCTCATTTACGTCAAGGTAGATTTAAATACTTCATTCTTTTTGTTCCCCAGCAACATTCAAATCGGCATACCAGCATTGGCAATTCAGTATGGGGTTCTCTAAGCACAAATCCTAGCAGCCAATGGGCATCAGATCTTGTCAGTAGTATTTGGAGTAATGCTGATACAAAAAATTCAAACATGGGATTCTGGGATGATGCAATCAAAGAAGTGGGTCCCCGTAATGCAACTAATAAAAACAAGAACAATGCTAGCATCAGGTAAGAATCTGTGTGGTTGAATTTTTTTTTCTTCTATTAGATAATGCCAAAGCTTGCTGCATTTCCTATAAGTTGTTCGGTGGATGAGCACAAACCGCAGCACAATGAGGATTGCTTATTTCATCATATTTTAGATTAGCTGGCATAAATAACTGGTAAAAGTATTAGGCAGGGTAAAAGGCCATTACATGCAGTGGGCTATCCAGCTTTGTCATAAGAACAGCCTGGAGTGATATATGCATTTACAGAAGCTAAGTTTGGCTTAAAAGCAAAAAGATTTATTTATTCTACCTTTATTATTTTTATAAATAACTCAAGGTAGCGAACCTCCCTTATACTCCTTCATCTTCCTGTTTTCCCCACAATACCCGATCCTGTCAGGTGAGTTGGGCTAAGAGATAGTACTGGCCCAAAGCCCTCCTCATGGCCTTCATGATTAAGATGGGATTAGAATTCACATTTTCCTGGTTTCTAGCATGGCATTATGTCTGTCTGTCTGCCTGTATGTCTGTCTGTCTGTCTTTTTAAAACATTTGTATAGCCGCCCATCTTAATACTGAACTTTGGGTGACTTACAACCTACTCTAGCACATATGTTAGGTCCACAAATATCCAGAATGATACACAGGGCAAGACTTCTGCTGTGGCTACCTCCAAGCGACACATGTTTTTCAGGATGAAAAAATGGAAGGTAGTCATTGAACAGGCAAGGGGAAGGATAGTCCAGGCCAGTATGGAGTCAAATAAGTATGACTAGGAGAAAATGGATAGATAGTAAGTCCAGCTGGCTGCATCTATTAAGATTATACTTCATTGTGCACCCATATGACTTTTGATAGATTGCTGGAGTTTTCTGGTTTCTAGACTTGCATACTTCCTATAGTATTCCTGGCAATCTACATCTCTTCCCCATACTCTGCAGTGATAGTGTTTTTCTTTGTCCCAGTAAATCTATAGGTGTTACAAGCAGGCATAATAAGAAGGTAGAAGAAGAAGAAAAATTATTGAAATTGTTTCAGGGAGTTAATAAACCTCAGGATGGATTCACTCAGTGGTGTGAACAAATGCTTCATGCACTCAACACAGCTAACAACTTGGATGGTAAGCAGTAGTAAAAGGTACAAGCATATTACAATATATATCATGCATGTTACCACATATTACAAGAAATTGTATCATAGTTGCATTCTAAATCCATGATATTGTTTTGTGGTATAAATAAAAATGAGAAAATTATAGACGATCTAATACTCATTGCCCAATATTCTTGAGGAGTGGATATAAAAATTGTGCTGCATAATACCACTTATATTTTGGAACCGTAGATCTTAGCCTGGGACTAATCCCTGGGACTAATCCCTACAATTTTCTTGGCAAAGCTTTTTGGAAGTATTTTGCATTGCTAAAAAGTAGGAGTAGCCTGTTTGCTGTTTTTATTAACAAGTAAATTCTTTATTAGATAACTCTGTGACAAGAGGAAATGGTTTTCGTTTTCTTATTTTTCTTCAAGCAGAAATAATTTTGTTTTACATAAAGCTTTTAAAGAAATTTATCAAATCGTTGATACTGGAAAGCTCTTGTCCATTGCATTGCATTACTTGACATTCTTTACAGATTTCTCACAATTGAATCTCCCTTCTTATTGTAGTTCCCACATTTGTTTCTTTCCTGAAAGAAGTGGAATCTCCTTACGAGGTTCATGATTACATCAGAGCTTATCTTGGGGACACCCCTGAAGCCAAGGAATTTGCCAAGCAGTTTCTTGAGCGCCGTGCCAAACAAAAAGCCAACCAACAACGGCAGCAGCAGGTTCATATTTCTGTTTTGGGGAAATATTTCCGTCAGAAATAGATATTACTTGGGCAGATAGATGTGGAATTATTCTTAAAAAGGAGAGCATGTTTGAGTAAAGATGTGTTAATATAGAAACTATTAATAATGAAGCTTTTCTTAAAACTGTATGTAGATAAAATAAATGGAATAAACCATGATCATATGGAAAATATCTATCAGATAACTGATAGTATATGAAAATGTGTTCTGTTACATTCCTACAATAGGGAGAATGGTGCTTAGGCAAGTACACAAAGCTTAATTTTATCTTAAAATGGGTCTTTTATTTCCAGGATTCTGTATGGGGGATGAACCATAGTTCTTTGCATTCAGTCTTTCAAACTAATCAGAGCAACAATCAGCAATCCAGTTTTGAAGCAGTGCAGAGTGGCAAAAAGAAGAAGAAACAAAAAATGGTTCGTGCAGATCCCAGCTTGTTAGGTGAGTTTTAGAACGTCCAAATTAGAATAAGTTTATAAACATTGGTGTGCCTTCAAGTCAGCCTAAACTTCTGACAGCTGCCTGGGACTAATCCCTACAATTTTCTTGGCAAAGCTTTTTGGAAGTATTTTGCCGCTTCCTCCTTCCTAAAGCTGGGGGAGAGCAACTGGCTTAAAATTATCCAGGTGATTTTGAGTTGAGGCAGGACCAGAACCCGTATTCGCCCAGTTTCTAGCCTGAAGCCTTCATCACATCAGACTGGTTCTCACGATGTAACATCATTGCTCTAAACATCTTGCACATTTTTCTGCAATAAACCAGAAATTTAATATGGTACATTAAATAAATGGAGACCCACAGAGAACATAGAAACTAAGAAGAGTTGGTAATAACTATTTTTTCTCCTCTTGGGATTGCAGTTTGATTTATCAGTCAACACCCTTTTAGTCCCTAGAGTTTGCTCCACAGATTATTTTATTACTTCTGCAATCAGATGTATGCAAGAAAACAGCTACAGATGTACATATTTGCACATTTAAACTTCATCTACTCCATTCTGTTGATTTGTTAGATTCCTAAGAAACAGTAGATAGAGGGTATGTATTTTTTTTATAAAATATTTGATTATCAAGAGAATTCTTCAATAATACTTTTATTTTATGAATCAATGTCTTAAAAGTACTGAACTGATATACTAGAAAAAATTTTCTTAACTACTGTGTATAATTTTGTATGATTGTTTAATGACATGTAAATTGGGAAGTATGAAACACAATTCATCTGTGAACTGATAAACTCGGATCTGTCTTTTGCAGGTTTCTCAGTTAATGCTTCATCAGAACGGCTCAATATGGGAGAAATAGAGACTTTGGATGACTACTGAGTAAATACCACTCACCTGGCTTTTCCAGTGTCTGTTAACCATGCATTCTCCACTGCCGGACAGAGTCCTTTCTCTTCACTGCTCTCATCTTTGCCTTGCAAATGGATCACAGAATCAATCATCTCAGGCTGCTGTTTTTAGCTTCAACAAATGCTTTCTGCCCAGGATTGCACAGCCACCTTCATTTATATTGGTCTTTGATTTTTGTACTGGGTAGACAGAAAAGAAGATTTATTCAAGAGGTTGAATTCAAAGCACTGTGAGTGATTTTTTTTTTCTCCCAAGCTATTTGGAAAGCCATCTGTAGGTCTACTTATGGTAGCTTCCTTTGCTTCTGTCATCACTTTCACAACAATAAGCCCGTGCAATCATGGTGGAGAGCTCATGGTTAACAGATGTCATTCAGAACCAAAACGCCATGCAGATACTGACTTCCATGCCTTCCAGTTTCAGGAGGTACATTCATAAGTTAACTGTAAAACTGCCAACAGCAGAAAATTTTTGTGGTGGGCAGCATTCAGCTTGGATTGGCCTGGCATTGCACATCCCTGTCAGCCTATCTTCAGCACATTGCATTTGGGGAAGCTCAAGTCTGTCTTCATTAAGTGGTGGTGTCAACGCTACTTGAGTTCAGGCTTCAGCACATCCAGCCTTCTTGAACAATTGGGGACTCAAGTTGTGGGAGGAGGCACTTACTTCAGGCTGAATTTCTCCTGTAATTCTCTTTCCTCCATTGTGATTGGGCCAGTTATTTTGGACCCTTCTGCTGTGAATTTGTCTCGTTTCAGAGACACATAGGATCTTTACCATATGTATGTTCATCAGTTGGCTTTGTATGAGAATTTGACACTACCTTTGAAGCATGAAATGTAGCCAGATTTTCATCTGGTTACATGTGATGGTGATTCAGGATTTTGTAAGTTCTGCAGCAGCATTATGCCAAGGAACAGGAGATGTCGTCTTCAAAGAAAAATAAACGACACAAGGAACTTGAGCATTGGCAGTGTCTGTGTTTGTAAAAAAAAAAAAATCATATGAATAAAATGCAGTGTGCTGGTTTTTGCTACATAGTACACTCTCCCATTACTTTCACTGTGCCCATATTTAGGCCATTCATCTTCTCCCAGTTATATTCCAGAATTCAGTGCACTTAGGTATCTCCACCCTTGTCTCCCACCCCAATCTCCCACTTGCGCAGTGAAGTTGCTGTGTGAAGATTTTTTCCCGTCATTACCTGAAGAAAACAACTGCAGTTTCTTTAAATTTTATTTCAGTTGATTTTCCTCTCCCTTTCTCGTCTTTCAAATGCCAATTTGTACAATAACTGTATAGAGATGGTTGTAGAGTTGTAAATAGTTTTGCATCTAGTAGCACAGAGAAACCTGTCACAAATCTACTCTCCTGCTCTCCTTTACTTTGTACACTTATGAAGCGGGGGGGGGGGATAGTTATGTTTACAACAGATCTTTAAATTCCTTCTGAACTCTACATAATAAGAAGGGGAAAACAAGAAGTTAAAAAAAATAAAACCTGGTTGTATTATTGCACATATTGTTTGCTTTTGTCAAAGCCAATTTTGGCAACCTTTTGTGGTGCTAAACTCAGCCTTGAAGTGCTACAAATATCCATTTGCTTAATTGACAAGCAAGTACACAGGAGCTGGAGGGGACAGCAGTTGCTTTATTTTGTAATCCTAGAGGAATGTTGCTGGTTTTTCTACTTGATAATTTTAGAGGTGGAAATAAACATCAAGGCTGCAAATGTATGACAAAGATTCACTCTTCACTTTTTCCATTTGAAGACATTCCCTTATTCACACTCTGGTTTTGTTTATGCAAGAGACCAAGTCTGGGTAGTCCCTTTTACAGCTGTAAACATTGAGAATAGAGCCTTTAGTAAGCCTAATGTGATCAAAACAGCAAGTACTGTATCAAACAGCATGGCTCTCTAATCTACTTGTAAAATATGCTGTCTTTTGGGAACAGATGATTTTATGTGACTCTTAAATGTAGACTTAACACTTCGGTTTACACTCCTTAACACTAAATTGCCCTAGATTTCAATAGCTGTTTTGGGATGAGTTAAGGAAATAATCAAAAAAATCAGATTAACTATGTTTCAGATGTTTTATAAACATTTTAGAATGTCCACTTCCCTTTCTCTAAATTATTGTAACTGAATATTTTTATAGAGCCCTATGGAACAGTTCTGTACATCTCACCTCAAAAGTAAATCCTATTACATTTTATTAGACTTACTTCCAAATAAGTGTTTTGGAACTGCTGTCTTCGTGTAAGTCTCAATTTTTTTAAAAGTGAGATGTAAATTATGTAAATAAGGATGTAGTCCTTCTCTTAGGTCAGTTTGCTAGTCCAAGAAACTGTATACAAACGATTTTGAGTATGTAAGAAGCCAGTTCTAAACTGAATTAATTTTAGTAAAAATTGGCATGGGTAAAATTTGAAGCTCAGGAAACAACTGCCTTATTTGAATACTACTACTACTACTACTACTATTACTACTACTACTACTACTACTACTACTACTACTACTACTACTACAATAATAATAGCCTTTCTTTTGTATAATCTTGTAATTCATGGAGAGATAGATGACAGATTGAGATCTGTAAATAGAACCTGACTGATTTGCAGTCAATTGACAAATATCTCAGACTTAAATTAGACGGAATAGACTGATACTTATCTGTGCAAAACATTCCACTATATGAACCTTTAGAGTCCAGTAAATAATTTTTTTTATTTATGTCAGAAGCACCTACAAACATATAGACATATAGCATTCAATACTGAGCGAGTAAAATAGGCATAAAATAGGTCATAAAAATATAGCACATTTAAAAATATGTAAAATAGGATTAAAACTAAATGATATTAATTAAATAATAAATAAATTAGTCAATAATTTGCTTTCTTTTTTGAGCCACCATTTATATTTGTTGATCTCAAGATTCTGGTAAAAAAATGGATTTTGCAACTTGAACTCTGTTCTGTAATGGACTGTCATAAACTATGATTTATTAGAAGCTTTTCAAATTTTAGTTTGGACAGATTTTAATATCTAAAGTCAATTATCCTCTGCAGAATTAATACTGATAGTTACAATTATCCAAATGCCAATAAATTACCTTACCATAATGATCATCATACAGGCAGCTTTTTCCCTGAACAGGTACAAATTGAGCTTTGAACTGAAACCTTTTAGAATAATAATCCGGTGAAGTGTGATACAGCCATTTGTCCGAAATGGTGTAGGGTTTCCTGCCTGAGCAGGGGGTTGGACTAGATGACTTCCAAGGTCCCTTCCAACTTTACTACTATTACTATTACAACTGTTAAGTAGTATTTCAGTTATAATGTTCAGTGGTGCTGGGTCATTTAAATAGTGTTAATGCAACTCATTTCATAAGTATTACCTTGCTGAAAAAGGGAATAATGCTGCAGATCACCAATGTTCAGATGATGACATTGTAGGATGTGCTATGGCTTTTGCTGCTGTTTATTTACTTTGTTTATATATGTGGATATTTAGAAGATTCTTAATGCCTGTCAGTTGGGAAACAAAATACCTAGATGATTATAGATAAGCATTTAATATATAGTTCCTTATCGATGCTTTTGCAATATTTTTTTATTTTATAAGCCACTTTGAGTTTGTGCCAATATATCAAATAAGTTTATCTATTACCTTTTTAAATATCAGTTCACCAAACTAACATACATAGAGCAGTGGCAGCCTATGCTAGGCTAACTGTTGTCTATCTCTCTCGTGCCAAGTAATAAGAAACGTCTTTTCACATTTTTCCAGTTATGGTCAGGTGTGAATAAAAGTGAGTATTTGCCAAAGGAACAAATATGGCAGTTAGACATGTGGAAAATTTTTGACTGAAACTTTGTGAGTTCAAAACAGACCGTTTTGAGCATTTTGGAAATGTTTCAAACCTAAAGCACTTCCAAAATGCTTGAAACAGTAGTTTTATATATGAAATGGAAAAGTCCGTAGTTTCATGTGCAAATAATTTGACTCAAAACAGTCTGAGTGACCCATGTGGCAGAGAGGATCTTATGCCTTGGATTTCAGACTGACTACAGAGAAACAATAAAGTTTTTCCTTGCAAAATTACCAAGCTTTTATATACATACTGATATAAATTATGACTCAGCAAGTAGTAATTTAAATTCATTTTAAGGTAATTCAAGTAGTGATTTTATCATTTGGCTATTTGTACAGTGTAGTTGGCTATTGAACTGGGGTTGACATGCAAAATTTGCAAAGGAAAGAAATATAATTGTAATATATTTAATAATATAAGCAAAAATATAAAAACTAAAATGGAACTCTTATAATACAAAAACATTGGTCTTTGATAGAAATAAATAGAAAATGAAACATTTACTTAAAAACTACCATTGTGCCTCTGTATAGAAATTTACAACAACTCACTTTTCAAAATTGAATTCTATAAACTGAAGTTAGATCAAGGATATGTATTGTTTCTTAAAATAGTTTTTCACATTTTTATCAAAAATAAAAGCTCACCAGAATGAAACGTAAGTTATTTGAACAATGCACACTTTTTCCAGTAAACTGAGCTAAAGAAAAGTCATTCATGCAGTTTGAATGTAAAGTTGCTGCAAATAATTTCAAGTGCCTAACTGATCTTAGCTGATTTTCTAAGCACTCATGTAAATAAGTATCCTGAAGCAATTTTCTTCCTAATGAAAATTTGATTTCTACCTCTAATTTATTCAAAAATACTTTCTGATATATATTTGAACATAACGATTCTGGCTTTTCAAGGCATTGAACATTTCTGGAAGATTCAAATATGCCCTCATTTATATTATTCTTTCAGGTTAAAGAAATGTGGTCATCCCTTAGCAAACAGGAAAAAGTCTTTTACAAAATGTCTGGAATTTAAATCAGATGATGGTTAATAAACATGGATATGATATCTGAGATATATTTTAAACTCAATCAAGAATTAGTGGATTATGTTGAATTCAAAACTTCTAACATCTGTTACTTTAAACATTATGTGATTGGCATCCTTCTGTTTTGCACTCTCACATCCTATGCAAACAAATGCCTATTTTAAGTATAGAACTGTTTAATGAATAGGGTTATTCATTGCTATCCTAAACTTAAAATATGTAGCCCAGTTATTGGAAGCCTAGTGCAGCCTTTGGGGTTTTGCAGTTAACTTCCCATTAATGTATGCCTTACTCTGTTGGGAGAGGATTGAGTTTCCAAGGGCCAACTGTCAGAATTTGGGGGTGGAGAAATAAGACAAAATTGTTAGAAGGTGAAACTGCCTTCTGGTTTAAACCAGTTAATCAGCCAGTCTGCATGCGTAAATGAGGCTGTAGAGTATTTGCCATTCTGCTTATGTATATTTCTACATGTGTAGAGATTTGAGAACAGACTGGACAAGTTTTTGATTTAGCTTCAGAAAATTGCTTCTTGATTAAGGTTTTAGAGAGTTTGAGCATTTCCAGAAGCATCTCACTTTTTGAAGAGGCAATGCCCCATACCAAGACATTTCACCTCATCCTACTGACACTGGCTGGAGTCCTGATCTCTTTTGTAAAAACTGGTAAGTTGAATTTCTTCTTTCTGGCCAACATTATAGTTCAAATAGCATTTTTCTCTTTCCCTGTGCATTCCCAGGATTCTAAATTTCTTTTCCATAAAGGCAGTATATGGATAACTAACATCTTATAATAATGAAAACTAGGATGAGATTAAAATTTACTTTATGAGAGTAAAGTTGTGTAACTAATTTCAGTTTGGTCAGCTGGAACATAATTCAGCTTTAAACCCTTGAAGAGGCTGGAACTTCTTAAATCTTTATTGATAGAATTAACTTGGGTGTGTTCAGAAAAAGTCATCATATAAACATGGGACATGGTTTTGGCTATAGAATTTTAAACGGGGGGAATTATTCCATTTTTAATGGACGTTTTTAATTCTGTATCTGAAGATGAGAGCGAACGCTTGTTGAAACATTAAAAAAACCCACAATTGTTGGAGTAAGATGTATGAGCCATATGCAAGTTTCTATGACATTCTTGGGGGTTTTATCTCCATATGGTTAGCAGAAAGTATTATGAATTGATGACAGCAGATGTATTTCAAGATGCTTAGTTTGAATAATAGATTGCAGAACTGATTTGTGGAAGGGTTAATTTCTCCAATTTGCTCAGTACTATGAAAATCATAATTCAAATATCGATGAAATTCAGTATTATAAAAATATATAGAAACAGATATTATTATAAAAAGTGTTAGTGTAGAAGGGGTGTGTGTGTGTGTGTATGTGTGTGTTCGTGTGTTCATTGTTTTTGGAAAATAAATGCAGAATAGAATATACATTCAGATCTTAGCCATGAACCAATACAACTGCTGAAAGCACTGAGGATATGTAAAATTTTCCTCCAAACAAAATGAATAGTTCAGAGAAATAATATTCCTCCAAGAAAAGTGACTAGTTCAGAGAAATAATAGTACTCTTTTAGTACTCATTCTGTCCCTTGTCTCCCATTTGAAGTACATAGTTCTTAGAGATTTCAGACAAAAATAGGTTCTTGCATTGATGTTTGAGATTTTTTACTTAGATTATTTGGGAGGAATCTTTAAATAAAAGAATATGCATTGTACCACTGACCCATAGTCCCGTGCCACTTATTGTGTCTAGAGAAGAATTTTGATGCAGACTCTGATGTCAAGGTTCTCAGTCCAGTGCAAAAAATATAGGCTGTGCTGATATTTCTGGAAATAAATGTTATTTCAATTACAAGTACAAGTGGGGGAAGAATATGGAAATGGAAGAGGTTTCAGAATATCATAGTAAATATATATTAAGAGATGTATCTTTTTTCTGTCATTTGGATTCAAAGCTCGGCAGATGTTTAGCTGCTCAGTTTTTATTCAGCATTGTACATTTATCCTAAAACTTGAACTGTTTCCTATTAAACAGCAAAAAAGACTATTCTCTATTTTTCACATATGTTAAATACATAAAAACTCATTTCTGTAAAATTATGATATTTTTTAAACCAACAAAGTTGTTTGCAAAATATTTCTTAAATATTTGATAATGATAGCATGAATGGAATGGGATGGAATAAATGGAAGCCAGTTTGGCATAGTAGTTAAGGCATCGAGCTAGAAACCATCTTAGGCATAAACCTAGTTGCATAACAGGCCAGTCACTTTCTCTCAGCTCTTGGAAGGAGGCAATGGTAAATCATTTCTGAAAAACCTTGCCAAGAACACTGCAGGGACTTGCCCAGGCAGTTTCTAAAAACTGGACACAAAGCAGAAGAAAAAAATGAATGAGGATGTTTTACTTTTGATGTAATAAAATTTTAGAAGACGTTCAAAAAGAAAGATTTTTTTTTTCAATTAAGGAAAGGCACCCTGGTTCACTCTCAACTCCCGCTAGAGCAGTGGTTCTCAACCTTTTTAATGCCGCGACCCCCAACCGGTCGTAAGTCGAGGACTACTCAACTGGTGCAGCACCATTTGCAGAATGGGACTTTTGGCGGGCTCAGCAGGGCAGAGACAGCCTGGACAATTCCTATTGGCTTTTGAAAGCCAATAGAATTAGACTCTATTCAAGAGAGTCTATTCTATTGGCTTTCAAAAGCCAATAGAATAAAAGGGAGTAGCACAGCTAAGGAAAAGGGGGAAAAAATGGTGGACTGCGTTGTTTGGCGATCCCCGTGAAATGGTCGTTCGACCCCAAATGGGGTCCCGACCCACAGGTTGAGAACCACTGCGCTAGAGGAAAATAATCATGAATTTTCTTCACAACAATATAGACATGGTTTGCCATTGCCTTCCTTCAAAATGCTTTTTAACTAGCTGACAGTCTTTATATTTACTGGTGGTCTTTTGTCCAAGTATAAGTTGATTTTGGAAAAGATAAGCAACGAATCAGCGAACACCTAGAGGCAAACAAAGTCATAACCAAAAGCCAACGTGAGTTTGTCAAAAACAGATCATGCCAGACAAATCTTACTGTATTCTTTGACGAGGTGACAAAATTAGTGGACTAGAGGAATGCTGTGGATATAAGGCATTTGATAAAGTATATCACAACCTACTGTTTGATAAGATAGAAAAATGTGAGTTAGACAGCATCACCACCAGATGGATTCATAGCTGGCTGACCAGCTGTACTCCCGTTGTGGTCCTCAATGGAACTGCATCTACATGGAGGGAAGTGTGTAGTGGGGTGCCCCAGGGCTCTGTTCTGGGCCCAATGCTCTTTAACATCTTCATCAGTGATTTGGATGAGGGGATAGATGGGAATCTCATCAAATTTGCAGATGGCACCAGGAATAGCTAATACTCCAGAAGATAGGCTTAAGATAAAGAAGGATCTTGACATTGGGCATTATCTAACAAAGCAAAATTCAATGGTGAAAAAAGTAAAAGTTCTATATTTAGGCAAGAAAAAACAAATACACAGGTACAGTATAGGTGGTACCTTGCTCAATAGTAGTAACTGTGAGAGGGATCTCAGAGTCCTAGTAGACAATCACTTAAATATGAGCCAGCAGTGTGCTGCAGCTGCCAAAAAAGCCAACTCAGTGCTAGGCTGCATTAACAGAGGGATAAAAGCAAGTTCACGTGAAGTATTAATACCACTTTATAATGCCTTGGTAAGACCATACTTGGAAATCTATATCCAGTTTTGGTCACCACGATGTAAAAAAGATGTTGAGACTCTAGAAAGTGTACAGAGAAGAGCAACAAAGATGATTAGGGGACTGGAAGCTAAAATATACAAAGAACAGTTGCTGGAGTTGGGTATGTCTGGTTTAATGAAGAGGACGAGGGGTGACATGATAGCTGTGTTCCAATGTCTCAGGGGTTGCCACAAAGGAGTCAAACTATTCTACAAAGCTCCTGAAGGCAGGACAAGAAGCAATGGATGGAAACTAATCAAAAGAGATAAGCAACCTAGAACTAAGGAGAAATTTCCTGACAGAACAATTAATCCATGGAACAACCTGCCTCCAGAAGTTGTGAATGCTCCAACACTGGAAGTTTTTAAGAGACTGGACAATCATTTATCTGAAATAAGCAAGGGGTTGGACCTCCAAGATTTCTTCCAACTCTATTAAATTATTAAGTTTTTTCTTAGCTTCTAAATCCAATCAAGATCAACCAGGAGTTGGAAATTTGTAATCAAAGATTTCTTGTGAAATTGTATGCTGAAATATGTGCAACAGATCTTAAAATTGTCTAAGAAAAAACAGATAAAGCTAATCTGGCAAGTATTGCTTTTTATAAAACTGGGTTAATTCTGGCAAGCAACTGCATTGTTTTCAAGATACTTATGCTGATCACTTTATGATTTGCTCTACAATTTTTCCTGCATGCTGTAAATTTTAATAGTGCATACAAGATTTCACAGCCAAATGGAAAATCCTTCTATTTGTAGGGGAATAAATTATGTGCCTAGTTTTTCTGTTTTATTTTGTTCATGCAGCATTTGAATATAGTTATGCGTGCATTTACCAACTGGCTGTTTTTAACTAATTTCAATTCATGTGTACTTGTGCCTGAAGCGTGCAACCTCACAAGTGCACATCTGCATGGAATTCTGAACAATGATCAACAATAACCAGTTTAATTAGGTTATGTAGTATGCATTATGAAGATTACTTTTTGCCCATTGTGTTTTGATTTTTTGAAATGATTTTTTCCAGCTTGCTTTGGGGGGGGGGCAAGGGGGAATGCTTCAAGCTCAAACAGAATGATGAAAAGGGTAGTGCGAGCATGGGCAGTATAAACCGACTTCTTGTAAACAAGTTTTGTTTAACGTTCAGCCTCTACCGATCCAGGACAGAGAACTGCACCACAGTCTTCCCTTGTGCCTCTGAAGAAGGGCTTCATTCATCCACACACTGGCCACATGCCCATGATGGCTACCTGGATCCAGACAGTCCACTGTTGGTTTCCAAGTGCATTTTGGTCCCTGCTTTTCTGTGTTGATTGCTCGGCTTTCTGAAGCAGAGTCATCCAAGCTGAGCAAGGAGATAGTCCAGCCAGCCCCAAAGGAGACATGGAAGCAGTTGAGTCAAATGTCTGCGCGGTTTTTCTCTTGCTCAGTCACAATTTTATAAAGAGAAAGCAAATAATAAAATAATAGTTGAATTATCCACTTTCCTGGCTAATAAAGGCTAGCTTGAAGTAAACTGGCTTGGTGCTGCCTAAAAATAAGTGAGCTTAATATGTGCAGAGAGTTGTATTCTTGATTCTGAGAAGACACAACCCCAAATCCCATTGTGCCCTTGTAAGCAAAAGCTCACTGTTGATATTTTGTATGTTTAAATTCAGCTGACCTATTTTTTTTCCAAAACCAATAGATCTTTTTCCTAACTTACCATAGCCACTTTTTTTCCTGTATCAATAAATCTGAAGAAAGCTAAAAATAATTCAAGGCACTCTGCATTAAAACAATATTGCTGTGATAGTTACTTCAAATTCCTGCTTAACGCTCAACTAAAGAGACAATCTTATATCAGAATTTATTGTTTATTTGTCATATTTGGAATGTTTAGTGGGATAGAGATGACC